CCCCCCCCCCCCCCCCCCCCCCCCCCCCCCCCCCCCCCCCCCCCCCCCCCCCCCCCCCCCCCCCCCCCCCCCCCCCCGGCTTATTCAACGGCTGACTGAGTCGTTGCGAAATTTTCGGCGCGATTTATGAATGTTAAACCCCCCCCTTGAAAAAATCCTGCGTACGCGCCTGGTCCCATGTATGTGGTTGTGTGTCAACTTTTCTTTAAAAAGGATTCCATCCGGCTACTGATGGAAATATTAAATTATGGCTCAGGCTGATTCTCTCAACAATCTTAAAAATCAAACTTTTTTTGTAAGGTTCTGTTCATATTAGTTTAAACATGTATCTCATTCTCAAAGTAGCTGGTTGGCAATATTTTGTTACTAATTTTGTGCTAATTTCAAACTTCAATCCAGATATGTATTGAAGGCAATATTGGGAGTGGGAAGACCATGCTTCTTGACCACTTTTCATCGCAGACTGGCGATGTCCAAGTCATTCCTGAACCTGTCGATGCATGGAGAAATGTCAAAGGTCACAATATGCTGGTGAGTAAATGCAATGTTTGGAAAACTGGAACTCAATCAATTTACTGCTGAATTGTCTTATTCCCAGGGGCTTAATACCTGTTCCTGTAGGCAGAGGGTTAAAGAAACATTTTTAATAATAATAATGATACTACAGCTAGTACTAGTAGTATAATAATAATAATAATAATAATAATATTAATATATTTATATATATTTTTGATAAGAACTAGACAATATAATGCCCCTTTACACTTTGAAAGTTTAGAGAGACATTATTATTGGGTAATAAGAGCTAGAAGGACGTTTACTCTGTGTTGAAATATGAGTTAATGCCTTCCAGCTCCAAACAGACGATGTGATTTGTGCTATATGACAACAGAATAACATTATGATTATGATCATTTAGCTATTGTGCCATGCAGATGCACCAGCTGAGTTTTGCTGTATACATTTAGATATAATTAGCGTATTTTGTAATAGTATTGTGTTGATATATATTGAGGGGTCAGTGACACACAGACGTAACTCCATTTTGGCCAATTTGGGCAAAAGTGTGTATGTGTCACTGAGCACTTGGGCATTAATGAGGTAAGTCTATGTTTCACTAGCCATTGACTTCAATGGGGTGTGGGTGGAGTTAAGTCTTTGTGTTTCCTGGAAAGCTCACATCATTTTGAACATTTTTATATGAAATACTCATTTTGGCAAAATATGGAGTTACGTTTTTTGTGTCGCTAAAACCTTAATATATCCCCTTCTTACCTGTGACAGGGTTTACTGTATGAGGACCCATTCAGGTGGAGTTTTGCCTTCCAGTCCTACGTGCAGCTGACAATGTTAACCTCGCACCAGACACCTCACACTCACCCTTTCAAGATGATGGAAAGATCCATCTTCAGTGCCAAATATTGCTTTGTAGAAAACCTCTACAAACGGTAAAATCTCTTTCAGTTTAAAACATGTTGGTGTTATTTATTAGAAAGTTGTTCAGGTTAAAGCCTACCCCTTAGTTTACATTCTGACTATGATCCGATTTTCGAAAAACAAATACTGAAGCGTAATGTTGGGGTTCTGCGTAGTAACTTATATGTCATAATCATACAATCAGAATTTCAGGGAATTTCAAGCTTCCTTGTAGAAGGAGAAGCTAAATTGGCTCCCAATCGGAGTGGAGTGATGTCAGACCAGTAATGTGCTTGTCTATGAATAAAAAGTCTCGATACTAACAGGCGCCAGGACACATTAATAGTTACATATTGCTATTGTTATTATTATAACTAGTATTAGTATTATTATCATCATGATTATTATTATGTATATTATTATTATTGAGCAGGGTAATAGTGTAGTGCGAGCGCTATAGAACTATGTTATTATTATTAATGTTTCCTTATCTTTTTGTCCACCAGTGGTGTGATGTCTGAGGCAGAGTACGCTGTCCTTACTGAATGGTTTGACTGGATTATTACTACATCATATTGCAATGTCGATCAGATTGGTAAGTAAAATATCAGCTGCCAATGGCCTAGATTAAATTGATCAAACTGTCAAATCAAAGAAAGCCTTGATAGACTTAAAAATGGATATCATCGGAGCTAGTTTCTTTTGTTCCAGTCAGGGAATTCCAGAAAAAATACTATCAGGGAAAATCAGTGAATTTCATTCACCCCTAAAAAGAAACTTAAAAAGTTGCTTACAGGTTGTCTCTTGTCCAAACGGCATATCATTCGGAGGATAAGCTATGACGGGTTTCCAAATGTGTAAAATGTCCATTAATGATCCTGTATTTTGCACCTCCATCAGCGGCGTTTTGTTATGCCTCCGCTTCAAAGTAGCGAAGGGATTATGTTTTCTGGTTGTCCGTCCGTCCGTCCGTTCGTCCGCACGTCCCGTTCTCGTGATCATGTTATCTCGAGAACCAATTGATGGATTACCACCAAACTTATGTCATGTATGTAACTTGCAATTGTACCTAGAGTGGAATGTGGTTTTTATTTTTTATTACTCTGTATAGTGTACCTGAGGACGTCTCCCGAGCACTGCTACGAACGGATTCAGAAGAGACACAGACGAGAAGAGACGGGAATCTCGATAGATTACCTCACCAAGCTACATGAGCTATACGAAGATTGGCTCATCCATAGAAATAGTTGGTCTCTTCCTGCGCCTGTTGTGGTAAGACCCTTTTAGAGTAGTCGCAATTCATCTTTTTAACCTTAAAAGACTTTGTTGTTTTTGTGGTCTCATGGTGGAGTATTCTTGGCTGCAGAGTGACATTGGTTTATGAGTTGTGGATAGAGAAGAGTATACAGAGTAATTCCATGATGTTTGATATCAATATACCTCAAAATGATTTCAGAATTCTTACTATTAAATGAATTATGTATGTAGTATACCATTAACAACTAAATCATTCATATCCTCACCAACTTTTTTAATTTTTAAAGTATGTGAAAAATTGAATTGTTCTAATTTATGTTTCTTGGAAATGTGACATGTTAAAGCTTATGCCTAAATGTATTAAACAAAGGCCTTGATTCAAACAGTCTGCCTTCCATTCTTGAGTTTAAAAACATGAAAGACATAAATTTTACAAGGGGTATAAATAATCTGGTTTGTTAACTGTACATGTACAACATTTTTGCTGGATATCTAAAAGTATGTACCAATGAGTTTTTTACAAATTTCATCTTGGATAAGGAGTGAGCAATCAGAATGACGAAGTGTCCATCAGATTCACTGTAACTTTCTCTTCAAACTGGTAGCTTGCATTCAAAAACGAAGTCTGAAGTTATCCAGAGCTGAAGAAAGGTGCTACCTACATGCTCTGCCCTCACACTCAAATACTGTACATGTATATGTGCACTGGCATTACATTGTCAAGATTTAATTGAAGGAAAATCCACTCTTGATATCAGATTGCTTTGAAAGAAAGCAGAACAAATACAGAGAGCAGATCGGTGAAAGTTTGCAAGAAAACGGAGAGACAATTAGAAGTTATGAATTTTAAAAAGTTATACCAGTAATCATATGTATAGGAATTCCAAACTGGCTAAATTGATGTTTTTTGTTTACTGTCCCATTTGTTCCATAATGCGAAATAAAATGCACCTTTTCAAAAGGTCAAGAGGTCTTTTCTTTTAAGAGGACCTATTATTTAAAAAATGAGATACGCTATCCATAATATATTTCAGTAGTACCACAAGGGAAAATGCCATTTGGCGAAAACTGAAATAAATGATATTTTTTGGACATGACAAACAAGAGAGATGTCTGTGAGACTATGCCACAATCCACTTACCGGTACCTTATTGCCAGTTTGATATTTGCTTATACACCCTGTATAGTGTAGGTAGTGAATAGTGATTTCATATTTGAAACATTAAAAGACGTTAAAAGATGGGAGTTGTTGCTACCTTGTTTGGGGTTCAAAAATAAGGGATAGAGCAACGTTGATCTGGCGCTGCTCAGTGGCTGCCGGGCTCACGATCAATTGGGCAAAAAGAATTTCCGTTTCGGTTTAATAAAATTTGGAGTGGACTATTAAGCTATTATTATTATTAGTATTATTATTCATAACTTTCTTATTTTGGTCCACTTTATTTCAAACTTTTGCCGTTCTGATTTTCTTATTTTTCTGCTTTTGTACAAAAAACCTCAAAAATGAGGTTTGGATTGCTCTTTATGTTGTGTAGTGTAGACATTTATCCTATGTTTTAGTTGTAACTGTAATTTCATTTTTAAATCTGCCATAAATCTGATTTTATGTTTTATTCTCTACAGGTTATTGATTCCAACAATTCAGTGGAACAAATGCTGCAATATTACAAGGATAACAAGGAACATATTCTTCCTACAGGACGAGATAGGTGCATTGTACAGAGATAATAAAACTCACATAATTGGACAAAAGCTACATGTATCATGGAGCATCTTCCTACAGGAAACACAAACACATCAGCGACCAAAGTTTAGACTCGACAAGGATTCATTTTGTAGGTATTCATCAGGAACATTTTATGACTGCTTAATAACTGTATAGTGGGATTTTTTGTTCAAAAGAATTTGCCAGTTGTCCAGATTGGCAAAAAATTGTCACAGTGTGGAATGATTGAATCGCAAACTAGAATCAAAACCTTTAAATTTTATGATTGCCACATATCACAATAGCAACTACTGTAGAAAAATCAACCTCGGGCAATTTCAGTAGCCTAGTGCGTCACCTACCTATTGAAATTTGCCAACATGACAATGAGGTATTACGTAACCTGAACATGATTTCTATGGGACATACAATTGGGTATTGAAATTGCCCTCACGTTCATTTTTCAAAAAAATAGTTGCGATCGTGTAACATGCTTCTTGCCTTGAAAATGGCTGTCAGTGTCATGAAAAGGTTCCTGGGTTTATAGTTCGTTCGTTCGTGTCTCCTTAGATCAAGATTAATGTAATCTTGATCTTCGGAGTAGTTGCTACAACCGGCTGTGTCAGACACGTTGCCCGGGGTGCAAACCAAGAGTCCTGGGTTTATAAGGAGAGTGGATATGCAGTGGACCACAGTGGACAGTAGACAGGATCAGAATTTGTAACTCTCCTACATCAGCTCTATGTTGCCAACCTCTCGATGAAGCTATTGCTGCAAACTCTTTGAGTGTAGGATTCCAACTTTGAAACGGGGGCATTTCACAAAACTTATCATCAGTGACAAATGACAATTTTTTTTATAAGCTACTGAAATCCTTGCTTATGATTGGTTATCAGCAGATTTGTTTCTGATTTTTGTCATTTTTCATTGAAAAAAAGGCTTTGTGAAACGGGTCCCTGGTTTACTAAAGGAGAGTTTAAAAATCCATCCGGATCAAGTGGATTGAAATCCTTCACTTAATAGGGGTCTCTTGTTATTCACTATGCACCTACATGTATCTTTGCTCCAGTGATCTCGAGGCAGCAGACAGCAAGAAGTTGTTTGAAGAATCCATTGCCTTTAGAAAATCCACAGGAGTTGACGAAAGGGGATGGAAGCTTGCCTACCAAGTTTCAAGGTTTCAAGAATCCAAAACTACATGTTAGGATTACTCCCTACCTATGAAAGTGTTTTGTAGCAAGTTCACTCATTTGCTGACATACAGATAAATTATCTTGAAATTCTCTTACCTATTCCAAGAGGACAATTTCTTTTTCTTTTGTAAACCCTTTTAGACTATTTCAATCATTATGTCACACACATTTTCATTGTGTTTCATCCGTGGCTATTAAACTTGGCGTTGGTATTCCATAAATCTAGAGTAGATTTACCTGTTCCCCCAAATTAGACCTTATCATTATGATAAACAAGAAGAGAAATGCAGAAGGGAAAATTTATATTTCTTCTTCTTCAGATTCTTTTTTAAACAGTTGATCAGAAGGGTTGGCAAAAACAAAATTATTGGAGCACCCCTCTTTAAAACCACACCCTGTCATGTCTTTTCTTTACCAATGATTTGACAATCTTGATTAGTTCGATATTGAACCATTTATTATAATCAACATGTACATGTATGTAAATATATTTAAAAGTATTGAACAGAAATGGCAGATCTTCCAGAGTTTTTCATCTTAAATTCTCATTTTGCCATGTAATAGTAATCAGTAAGATGTATCATCTGTGAATATTTGTTTGATATGGGTTTAGTTTTTTTAATCTGTTACAGATAATTTTTGTGTATGTTCTTAAAAAAGAATTGATGTACGGGTGTATTGTACAATATATAATTCATTTTGGAAAACAGAGTGAGAGTATTCAAGAGAGAGAAAAAAAAGATCAAAATCAACAGTAAAGACAATCATCATAAATATGAAATTAAATATTGTGGATGCATGTACGATATATTTATGTTATTATATTGATTTATGTCATCTAATTTGTACGGGCTATACAGGTGAAGCACAACGATAGTCTAGCACCATTGGTTATCTCATGTCTTACCATGGACAGAATATCCCACATTAGAATTGAAAGTAGAAGAAGGTATTTGGACTAAGAATGGTTTTCTTCATCAAGACAGAATGGAAACCCATTTTGTGAAGTTTTTATTATCTTTATATGGGATATTTACTTGTGTCCAATCAAAAGGTGAAACAAGCATTATCTCTTTACTATAATAATGACATCTACTTGAAGTTCATTTATGTCAAATGATTAAAAAAGTCGGTTGCACAAGGGGCTAAAGTTAATTTGGTTTAAAGATGTTTTTAAACCACTGCATTGTTTCCTCGAGATTTTCCTATTAAATAAAGGTTGTCTTGTGTAGTATATGTGTAATGTCACAGATGTATTCTGTTCTTAGTATGTCGTATATTGGTGCATCACAATAGTGTTGTCAATACTATCTTTTTTTATTGTGAATAAATTATTGATAATTACGATCCAGAAATGTGGTTGATTTGTTGTTTCAAAATGTGTGGCAAGTTAATATTATGAGAGATAATGGATAAGGAATAGTCTGCAAGCACTGGTACAGTACAGTTGACACGGTCAAGTTGTTTGATGTCTACTCTGCTGGGGAAATCAAGGATGTGGGTCCAAGTCCTGTTTGTAAGGCACTGATGTTTTGATGCAAGGCATTTTAATGATGTCTGGCTAAGGAGTGTAAAACGACTGCCATACTGGCTGAGGAGTGTAAAATGATGGCTGGCTGAGGAGTGTAAAATGATGTCTGACTAAGGAGTGTAAAACGATGACTGGCTCAGAAGTGTAAAATGATGACTGGGTGTCGAGTGTAAAGCGACGACTGGCTGGGAAATATGTGAAATGATGACTGGTGGAGGAGTGTAAAACGATGACTACCAGACTGGCTGAGGAGTGTAAAGTGATAACTGGCTGAGGAGTGTAAAATGATGGCTGGTTGAGGAGTGTAAAATGATGGCTGGCTGAGTAGTGTAAAATGATGACTGGCTAAGGAGTGTAACATGATGACTGGCTAAGGAGTGTAAAATGATGACTGCCTGGGGAGTGTAAAATGATGACTGGATGGGGAGTGTAAAATGATGACTGGCTGGGGAGTGTAAAATGATGGCTGGTTGAGGAGTGTAAAATGATGACTGGCTGGGAAGTGTAAAATGATGACCGACTTAAGAGTGTAAAATAATAGCTGGGTGAGTAGTGTAAAATGATGACTGGCTGGGAAGTGTAAAATGATGACCGACTTAAGAGTGTAAAATAATAGCTGGGTGAGTAGTGTAAAATGATGACTGGGTGAGGGGTGTAAAATGATGACTGGCTGGGAAGTGTAAAATGATGACCGACTGAAGAGTGTAAAATAATAGCTGGGTGAGTAGTGTAAAATGATGACCGACTGAAGAGTGTAAAATAATAGCTGGGTGAGTAGTGTAAAATGATGACTGGGTGAGGAATGTAAATTGATGACTGGCTGGGAAGTGTAAAATGATGACCGACTTAAGAGTGTAAAATAATAGCTGGGTGAGTAGTGTAAAATGATGACTGGGTGAGGGGTGTAAAATGATGACTGGCTGGGAAGTGTAAAATGATGACCGACTGAAGAGTGTAAAATAATAGCTGGGTGAGTAGTGTAAAATGATGACCGACTGAAGAGTGTAAAATAATAGCTGGGTGAGTAGTGTAAAATGATGACTGGGTGAGGGGTGTAAAATGACTGCTGGCTGATAGGGTTTAAATGACTGGTTGAGGAGTGTAAAATGATGACTGGTTGGGGAGTGCAAAATAATGACTGGGTGAGTAGTGTAAAATGATGACTGCATGGTTGAGGAGTGTAAAATGATGACTGACTAAGGAGTGTAAAACGATGACTGGCTCAGAAGTGTAAAATGATGACTGGGTGTCGAGTGTAAAGCGACGACTGGCTGGGAAATATGTGAAATGATGACTGGTGGAGGAGTGTAAAACGATGACTACCAGACTGGCTGAGGAGTGTAAAGTGATAACTGGCTGAGGAGTGTAAAATGATGGCTGGTTGAGGAGTGTAAAATGATGGCTGGCTGAGTAGTGTGAAATGATGACTGGCTGGGTAGTGTAACATGATGACTGGCTAAGGAGTGTAAAATGATGACTGGCTGGGGAGTGTAAAAATGATGACTAGTGGATGAGGAGTGTAAAATGATGACTGGCTGGGGAGTGTAAAATGATGACTGGCTGGGGAGTGTAAAATGATGATCGACTGAGGAGTGTAAAATGATGACTGGCTGGGGAGTGTAAAATGATGACCGGGTGAGGAGTGTAAAATGATGACTGGCTGGGAAGTGTAAAATGATGACCGACTTAAGAGTGTAAAATAATATCTGGGTGAGTAGTGTAAAATGATGACTGGGTGAGGGGTGTAAAATGATGACCGGGTGAGGAGTGTAATATGATGACTGGCTGGGAAGTGTAAAATGATGACCGACTGAAGAGTGTAAAATAATAGCTGGGTGAGTAGTGTAAAATGATGACCGACTGAAGAGTGTAAAATAATAGCTGGGTGAGTAGTGTAAAATGATGACTGGGTGAGGGGTGTAAAATGATGACTCAAAAATGATGACTGGTTGAGGAGTGTAAAATGATGACTGGTTGGGGAGTGTAAAATGATGACTGGGTGAGTAGTGTAAAATGATGACTGGTTGAGGAGTGTAAAATGATGACTGGCTGGGGAGTGTAACATGATGACTGGGTGAGGGGTGTAAAAATGTTGGCTGGTTGAGGAGTGTAAAATGATGACCGGGTGAGGAGTGTAATATGATGACTGGCTGGGAAGTGTAAAATGATGACCGACTGAAGAGTGTAAAATAATAGCTGGGTGAGTAGTGTAAAATGATGACCGACTGAAGAGTGTAAAATAATAGCTGGGTGAGTAGTGTAAAATGATGACTGGGTGAGGGGTGTAAAATGATGACTGGCTGAGGGGGTTTAAAATGATGACTGGTTGAGGAGTGTAAAATGATGACTGGTTGGGGAGTGTAAAATGATGACTTGGTGAGTAGTGTAAAATGATGACTGGTTGAGGAGTGTAAAATGATGACTGGCTGGGGAGTGTAAAATGATGACTGGGTGAGGAGTGTAATATGATGACTGGCTGGGAAGTGTAAAATGATGACCGACTGAAGAGTGTAAAATAATAGCTGGGTGAGTAGTGTAAAATGATGACCGACTGAAGAGTGTAAAATAATAGCTGGGTGAGTAGTGTAAAATGATGACTGGGTGAGGGGTGTAAAATGATGACTGGCTGAGGGGGTTTAAAATGATGACTGGTTGAGGAGTGTAAAATGATGACTGGTTGGGGAGTGTAAAATGATGACTGGCTGGGGAGTGTAAAATGATGACTGGGTGAGGGGTGTAAAAATGTTGGCTGGTTGAGGAGTGTAAAATGATGACCGACTGAGGTGTGTAAAGTGATGACTGGCTAGTAAGCGTTGCATAGAAGCTGGCTTTCATTGACTTGAATTAAGCAAAATATCAAGTGCTTTATTTCTTCTGTCTTTTTTCACTTGTGATTCCTTCAGCCAAGCCTAGGTTTGAAAACTGAAAAAATGTATGCCATAAGAAGGCGAGAGCTTCTGTTTGTGAAGCAGAGGCGGAGGACCCAGGGGGGGGGGGGGCACAATTCCCCACTTTTTTCAAGTACACCTTTAGGCTCTAGTGCCTCACTTTACATAGAAAAAGTGCCCCTTTTATCACAGATAAGAGGCCTTTTTTCATTCTTATACGTGTCCTTTACACAATCTCATAAGTGCCCCCTTCACCTATGATAATAGCCCCTATTCGAATATTTAACAAGTGCCCTTTTCTCTGGTAGTCAGTTTCCCTCCCCTCCTGATAAGTGCCCGTTTTCATCTCCGAATAGTGCCCACTTTTAATTGACATCTTTGTTTTTCTTCTCATAAGTATATTTCCTTTGAAAAATGCACCTTTTCTTTTATAAGAAGAACCCTATTCCCCTTCTCATTGATGCCTCTTCTCACACCTTCGATAAATGCCTCTTTTAAAATCTGATAGGTGCCCCATTTCCTTCGATAAGTGCCGATTTTCCTTTGTAATAAGTGCCCCTTTCCATTCTCACACGTGCCCCTATTCATCTCAGATGAGAACCCCTTTTCAGGCACAAGAAGTGTCCCTTGAACACCTCTTATAATTGCCTCTTTTAAAATCTGAGAGGTGCCCCTTATATTTTGCCAAGTGCCTCTTTGATAAGTACACGAAAAATAGTGTTTATGAATTTCACATTGCATAGTCACTCCATACACCATTCTTAAATATATCTTTAAAAAATCATTGTTACTTTTTATTATACCAGTCAATCATTCTTATTGATGAACAGCACAATGTACTACATTGGAAATGAATTGACATATATATATATATATATATAATTATATATTTTTTTTTGGGGGGGGGTGAATTTTGCTCTCTCTGCTCATGTATATTTGATCATATGTAATTCCTAGCATCGATTAAATTTCTATCAAAAATTCCTTGAAAGGAGATAAACATACACTCAAATGAATGTCTGAAATAGAAAGTAGAGGAGGATACAGATATATATATATATAGAGAGAGAGAGAGAGAGAGAGAAAGAGAAAATTCAGAGAGAGATATAGATTCAGAGAGAGAAAGAGAAAAGGGGAACGGGGAGAAGGAGAAGAAATATAAAGTAAAATACAGTGGAACCTTATTTGTACCGTTATAACAAACTCATGATAACAGCATATTTGTGCTGCTTAGATCCTATTTTCATATTCTATTTTTAGCACAGATAAGACAAAGTTTCAATATTAAGAGGTAATTTCCTTGGTCTGAAATATGTTTGTTTTTACGGGGTTCCACTGTATTTTGTAACTTATACACTGCACTGAAGGAGGAAGCAAATAAACCACTTTTTATCCCATCTAAAATCCAATATTTATTATTAAGCAATAATTGTTAAAGCATATTGAGCATTACATCGATATTACTCTACAACTCATTACCTATTACGTCACTTCAGAAAGCTCTATTTAAATTGAATTGAATATAATACATATTCAGGGTATAGTGAGCAAGCAACTGCGGTGGATGGAAGAGGGCAAAGGTCCCGACTTAGATTACAAATTACAAGAAAATATCTCGTTACCGCGATAACTTCGAAAGTTTTGAAGCAATTCAAACCAAACTTGGATGAAGTATAAATGAGTATACACGGATGAACTGATTAAAATGTATGATTCAGATATAAACAAGGGGAAAAGACAGGATATACCTGACAATATTGCTAAATAACTATCACAATCTCAATGCTCATGCAAGCGTTAATCGAGATTTTTAAAAACAGCTTTACAAGCTTGCTTTCATGTAGGTCCCATCACATTTCTCTTAGTTTAATCAGTACTCCATATTGACCACTTATCTTTGTTATTTGATATGTATTATCGAGAAAAAAACAATTTGTACTTTATTTGAAATGTATAATGAGAAATATGAAAATAAATGAAATGAAAGATATAACAAAACCAACCACAATAATGTATAAATGAAGTAAATTGCCATTAAGAAAGAAATTAAAACCCAGCTACACAAAACAGATTATTACTAACAAAAGGCGATCATTATCACTATCAATATTTACGCAACCATCATTACAGAATATATTTTATATAGATTTTAGAAGTGTAACAAAAAACCAACCACCATGGTATTAGGAAAAGGATAATCAAGGAAGAATTCCTAAAAATTGCAAATACTACTATTTCATAATTTTCACATCTAACAATAATTTGTGTTACACACTTATTTGAAATAACAAATATCGGATATGAAGGTACGCCTACGCCCTATATAACTGTAAATATTTATTAGAAGTCAGATATTAGAAACAACCAAACGAATCAAGACAGAATAATTATATCTTACATTTCTAGGCAATGATTTCATTATTTACACACATTCAATCAACAAAACCAGTCAAATTGTATGTAATATGGTGAGTTTAGAAATTATTACTGAAATGAGGGCAGGTTCCTGCTTCATATTCTGCCTACAGATGTTGGCTAACATAAAGCTGATAAAGTATTAATATCAAAGTACATGTATAAGAAAGATATCTGATAACCACCTAAACTGAGCAAAGTATCATGTATTTACAAAACTGAAATATTTTTGTTGTTAACAGACAACTGCAAGTTCTCAGTTGCAAGCCTGGTAATGATCAAATTATAAAGAGGCGCAATATAAGACAGGCGTTCTCTCGTAGATACATTCATTCAATTAAAATTTAAATTTTTTAAAACATGAGCAAAATGTTAATTTTTTCATTGTGCCTCAAACGTGACAAAAATATCATATTATATTTTCCCAAAAATGTCGTTGCAGTACTAGTAAACTGCATGATTATATCCTTAACTTCATTACAACATTTTACTTCAAAGACACTTTAAAACTCATTTTCATCTGTCTCTTCTTCCAATCCTTTTTTTCCTTCTTCAGTTCTTCTTCTACAAGATAACCATTTGCCAATTAACTCAATTTACCTCTTTTTTACAATTCATATCTACGCTTGGGGAAATGATTAGCGTAAATAATCAAACCGTTTAAATTTTACCATGACAGCTCAATTTGTCAACTTCTCGTAGAAAAAAATTAATTTCGTCTTCCTTCGTAGCTCTCCTGTCCGTAGATCTGCCCAATCTTGAGTTAGTGGAATAGAATTTATTATTCAGAAATATACTAAGGAAAATGCCAGGATATACCTAACAAGATTGCCAAATAACAATCACAATCTCTTTACTCATGGCAAGTATTAATCGAGAATGCTATTCTAAATTTTTCCAAAAATTTAATACTAATACTAGCTTACTGCATGATCAGACCCTATGTTTATTATATTTCATTAAAAAGACACTTTGAAAATCATTTTCTTCTTCTGTTAGTCTGACGTCACAACGATTCTGAGCCGATTATTCAGATTCTCGGTCACTAAGATTGTACTTGTTTGAATCGGCATAATAAAATGTTATTACAAACTCTTTCAAGATAGGATCGTAGTCAGATCGTGTAGTGTACGCCAATATTTAAGGGTTTCAATATTAATAGAAATCGGAAAAAGGGGTATCGAATTCAAAGTTGATAAGAACATACGTGAAATAATCCGATAGCCCCGGTCGGGAGCAGAGCTGCGGAGGGTCCGATAAGATTTTAAACTCTCGTGGAAATCCTTTTCCTTTTAGGATAAAAAGTAAAGGTAAAATCCCTGTCAAGGGTATCAAAACTACTCTTGACTTCGATATTCTTTCAGGGTGCTGTTCCGAAATTGAGCTGGCGCTTTGCGGAGTCTGGTGTGGCTTTATCCTCTGGTTCAGGAGATTGCGACTCAGCCAGCCTCGTAGGCCTACCGCCAACAGCAGCATCAGGAGGTGTCGACATCAGATCCTGATACCCTGCGGACACATCAGTACTGCCATTTGAATCTGTTTGAAGGGATTAAGAATTATATGTGATTTACTGACGAGAATAGTTAAGGAAATTCATTACAATAAATAGAAACGTGAATTTTTTTTAGTCACTAGGTCCAGTAAAATGTTAATTAGTTACAAACTTATACATTTCTTTCCTTTTCTTTTCTTCACTTTCTTGCCCTAATGAAAGAATCCAGATTCCAGATATCATAATTGATATACATTTATAGCAATATTCATAATTATTTATTTTGAAATTAATATATTTAGACATTGCTTTCATTGGATTTTTGGAAAATAAATAAATTACATCTTTAACCCAAAGCAGTATCTCTTCTTTCTCCTCAAATTGGCACCACTTATTCTTTTGGAACTTTAATCTAGGTACTTTGTCAGATGAAAACTTCTTGAGGAGAAAAGAACAGTTGTATTAGAATAAAATATAAATCACAATGTAATCTTATATTGGCAGTACCGGTTTTGTTACCTCAAATTGGCAACAATTTTCCTTCTGAACTGTAATTTTGAAACACAGGTAGATGTGTTGTGAAGTTTTGGAAAAGACGAGAACTTTACAAAGCCTTTTGAATTATACTTGTATTTTCTTTGTTTGTGTATTTTACTGAATGCCTGATCTTTCCGTTGTGTTGGCTCAGTCAGAAGAGCGTCCGCCTCACAACCGGGAGGTCGTGGGTTCGAACCCCGGCCGCGTCATACCAAAAGACGTTAAAAGACGGGAGTTGCTGCTACCTTGTTTGGTGCTCAACAATAGGGACTTTTAGATTTGCGTGGACTGATACGTGTGACTTCCATTCAAGGCAGTGCATTAAAAGAACGTCGATCGTAGCAATACACGTTGTCGTTGTGCAAATCTAAAAATCCCTATTAAAAGGGGTAGAGCAACGGCGATCTGGCGCTGCTCAGTGGCTGCCGGGTTCATGATCAATTGGGCAAAAAGAATTTCCATTTTAATTTTGGTTTAATTTAATAAAAATTAAATTTGGAGTGGACCATTAAAAGATTATTGTCATTATTATCATTATTATTATTATTATAAACTATCACCAATATAATATTTATATTAAAGCTATGTTTTTGAAATATTATCTCCTATAGTAAATGATCCAGGTTTCAGCAATCATTTTATACTCCTGAAGATTTTACCCAAATGTTGAATGTGTACATTGTATTTAGAAAAACAATTTTCATGTCTGCTTGTAAATTGCAGAAGTATAACAAAAACTTCTCTTGTTTTGAAACTTTTTTGCATGTTATTGATAATCCCTTTTGTGCTATAGGAATAACTGAGACATGGTTACGCAACAGCGATCCTAAATATATGTTAAGATGGATTCAAATTTATGGGTAATAATAGAGTAGAACGTCGAGGAGGAGGAGGAGGAGTTGGTATTATGTTAGAGATGATTTATTTTTTAAACAAACAGTAGTTTTAGATACTGTAAATCATATGGAATCTATTTTTATTGAGATTCAAAATTAAGATTAAAATATTATTATTGGTGTTATTTATAGACCTCCATATGGAAACGTTGTATCATCCGCTCAATCTGACTTGCGTGCATAAAACAAATAAGCATTTTTGCATGAAAAAGTGAAGTTTTCTAAAAAGAAAGTGCGTTTCTTTCCGGCATTGGGGTGCTCAGGAGTCACTTGGGTAATCTTTCAAAAAGTATAATATAACAAATAATATGCAATTTCTCTGTACTTTTGTCGGAAAAACAGAAAAGAAGCACAATGTCGTCTGTTTTTTTTCATTGGGGGAAAGCAAAATAGCGAGTTTCAATCGCACTTCAGCCGCTCTTGCAAGCTCCCACTCGCTCCATTGTGGTCAGGCAGCTTTGGGGTGAGCGACTAATATACACTGTTGGTCATAATGGTGGAATATTTATTTTTACCCCAGTTTAGGGAAGGATTTTAAAAAATTATTTATTTCTTATAGATCTAGATAATGGCATACATTCTCAGATTTTATTGAATATTAATTTGCGAGTGTTTGTTTTGCGTGACTCCTTAATCATAATGTGTGCTACTATGCTAATCAGCTAAGGGACCTACGTCCTTAAGTCATAATTGACAGTAATGAGGATTAATGCCTCACAAAGGGCACTAATATAAAGCTGATCGACACGATTTTTATCCTGGGGCCTCACAGTATCGGGGCCATTGCTTAGCCCCTGAATCATGACTGTACGCAGTGTTTGCTAGGGTACGCGGCCCCTTCCACAAATCCCCCAAAACGAAGAAAATGCAATAAATTGTCAAAAATTCATTGCATTTTCCCCCGGCCCCCAACAGGAAAAATTCCTCTGTGTGGCCATGCCTTGAACCATAATGCATGGCTCGTATTTTTAATGAATCTATGAATAAAGGTATATAAAGTTATTCCCGTATATAAAAATGAATCATTTGATACAATGAGTAACTATCGGCCAATATCAGTCTCGCCAGTATTTTCAAAAATGCCTTAATAATAGACTGATATATTTTTGGAACAAATGTGATTTTTTTTATTATCGGATAGTCTATAGGGTTTTAGCGCTGGTCAATCCACACCCTCTGCACTAAATGATTTTGTTTTAAAGTTTCAAATGCCTTAGATAATAAACAAATTATGTTAGGAATATTTCTCGCTCTCAGTAAGGCATTTGATACGTTGGATCCTAAAGTTCTCTTAGATGAATTGTACAATTATGGAATACGAGGTGTTTTGAAAAAAATGGTTTGAAAGCTATCTAACAAACCGAGAACAATATGTTCTTTTTAATAAACATTAAATCTGATTTTAGAAACATAGGATGTGGAGTACCGCAAGGCTCGATATTGCGACCGTTATGATTTCTTGTGTACATGAATGATATTATTCAGGCTTCACTAATATTGCAATGTATTTTATATGCGGATGATTCAAGTTTATCTTTGTCTGATAACGATTTAGATAGATTAGTGACACGATTTAGTGATGAGCTTCAGAACATTTCTTAATGGTTGTATATTAATAAATTAATCTTAAATGTAAAGAAATCTAATTATATGATTTTCACACGGATAAGATCAGCCATAGACGAAAGACTTCATGCATGGCTGATTGTCAACGAAACGCTGTTAAGTTTTTGTAAATTCTGTTTGTTGCTACGGCATAGCAGCCAGTGAAAACGAATTCGTCTAATAATTTTTTCGAAATGCAAGCATTACTTGAAACAAACAGAACTTTGTTATTCCTAGCTCATTTTTCCTGGCTACTAATATGTGTCATTTATTAATTGTAGTCGTGATTAAGTTATGATAAAACATCGATAATTCTCGGATTCGTTTTTTTTTCTGGGACGCACTGTATATGCAATTAGCTGCTAGATGTTAGTTGTAATGTGTTAGCTGTAAGGTATTAAGTGTTAGACAAGGGTAACATTCTTTATTATTTCATATGAGACCAGCACCACATAAGAATTTAGTGTTCTTTCTTGCCGGTTCCCTCATTCGTATATATATATATATATATATATATATATATATAATTGTATTTTGCCTTTATCTTTCGTTATATTATTTGTGTGTTCTTTATTTATCTGTAAATATCAATGTTATAATTATGTATGCTTTTATATGACGAATGGAATCAAATTTAAATAAAAATTAAATTAGGTAGTTGCATTGGAATGAGATTCTCAGACAAAGTTTTTGATGTAGGCATTAATGACATAAGTCCCACAATGTATCATGCTCTTTGAGACCATTCTTTTTTGCTCTCTCAAAACAATGGCTATTTATGTCTACCTAATATAGTAATGATATGTGCAATAATCTATAACCCTGTCACACTTCACACCCCCCCCCCCCCAACCCTCTCTCTCTCTTTCTCTCACACAATCACTCTTCGGGCTCGGTCTATCATTCTTCTCTTTTCCTTGCTGCACTTCTGCATCACCAGAACCCCTAATAATGTCCCCCCCCCCCTTTTTTTTGTATTGCTTGATACAATTGTCAGGTCTCACAAGGCATCAAATTTCGCTTATCTTTGAGCCCTGGCAAGTTCTGTTTCTATTTCGTCATATATGGTTCAACGTATACTGATTTTTATTCTGTATTAAGAACTGAATGAGAAGGCACGGTGGCTCAGTGGTGAGGAGTGGTTTCGTTACTAACAAGTCCCGGATTTGAAACCAATTCGATGCGCTGGTGCTCTTTGGCAAGGCATTGACCCTCATTACCAAGTCCATCTGTGTGGAATAAAAGCCGTTGGTCCCCCGGTTGCTAATACAAGCATACACAAGCTTTTATTAGCAGTCAGGTAAAACAAAACAAACTAACAAATATGTATAAATATCAAGTTGAACTGTGGGTCTCCAAGCAAATTTGTTTCCTCGAAAATAAATGATTATTATTAAAAAATGCATGGCAATTCTGCCAACACTATAGCAAGACTACGGGGGGGGGCATAGCACCAGGAATCCTTATATAAAGACGTGTATGTATAAATTAGGAGATCTACATGCGGCATATTTTCTCCTGAAAAGCAAATGTGTCGCTCTCCACCAATACAAGGATGGAAATAAACTATAGCACAACAATAGCTCAGTAATATCTCTGAAAAATAATATCTCACTAGTAAAATTTTACACAAATTTCGCTTGCTTACATTCTGATAGCCTAAGACACCAGGACACATGTATAATATACAAGTCATTTATCTCCCCCCCCCCCCCCGTCCCTACCCACCCCCGGGAAGCACTATGTATCATTAACGGCGACCTTACATCTGGCCAGTATTAGTTCGTGTGTACTGACTCCATTTCCAATGTTTCCTCTATCGCTTTTTTCTTTCTCACAACTTTAGAATAGGACTTTCTGAGAAGTTGATTGGGTAAGGAATTTCAGCAGTCACTTTCCTTAGGAAGGTGGACCCATCTTTAAAAAAAAACGTTAATCATGACCATTGTGAAATCATAAGCATTGTGGGCGATGCATGGAACTTTGTCGGACACAGACACAACCATTTCCGAAAAATTAAGTCAAGGTTAATTTATATTTCTTCTCGAAATCATAAAAGTACAGAAATCATTTTATTCTTTGCTTTCTTTTATTATAACAATGTCGACGTCTAACTTTTCAGGCCATCTTGTTTTAACGCTTCACATTGCGCTAAGTCATTTCCCAGAATAAGGAATGGGGACTTAATTCGAAAAGATACATGTAGAAACAAAGAGAGAGAGAGAGAGAGAGAGAGAGAGAGGGGGGGGAGAGAGAGAGAGAGGGAGAGAGAGAACATGGGGTGGATAATTGAAAGAGGGAGGGAGGGAGGGGGCGTAGACAGAAACAGATACAGACAAAAAAGAGATTAGACAAAGATACAAAGGCAGAGAATGATAGCGGGATGGGGAAGAGGTAGACAGGTAGACCTGTAACCAGAATATTAGAGAGGGAGAGAGAGGGGGAGAGAGGGAGAGAGAGGTGGGAGCAGGCGCGCCGGAAGCAGTTTGGGATTGGGGGGCAAACATTCCAGGGGGCTCACCTTCCAGGGGCAGTGACGCCATGAGAAATAACGTTCTGAGGGGGGGGGGGGCAGACGAAAAATCTGTATCACCACCAGTATTACACGTTACATGCAGGTCCCGCGAAACGTTTTTCAAAGTGGAGTATTAACGATCAGGCAGAGCGTAAATTGGCGTGGGATCCAGGGCATGAGCCTCGGCAGGAGGTCAAGGGGCTGAGCCCCCGGAAGCTCAGGGGTTTTAGGTATTTAATTACGGTTAGATGAGCATTCAGGGTCCCTCTTTAAGGCTATTGACGTGTTCCAGGGGGGGGGGAGCCCCCAGAAGCTCAGAGGTTTTAATATTAAACTACGGTCAGATGAGCATCCAGGGGCCGCCTTAGGGCCCTTGGTGGGGTCCAGGGGGCAGAGCCCCCGGAAGCTTTGGGGGTTTAGGTATTTAATTACGGTCAGATGAGCATCCAGGGGCCCACCTTAGAGCCCTTGGTGGGGTCCAGGGGGGCAGAGCACCCAGAAGCTCAGGGGTTTTAGGTTTTTAATTACGATTAGATGAGCATCCAGGGGCCATCTTTAAGGCTATTGACGTGTTCCAGGGGGGGGGGGAGAGCCCCAAGAAGCTCAGAGGTTTTAATTTTTAACTACGGTCAGATGAGCATCCAGGGGCCGCCTTAGGGCCCTTGGTGGGGTCCAGGGGGCAGAGCACCCTGAAGCTCAGGGGTTTTAGGTATTTAATTACGATCAGATGAGCATCAATGGGCCCGCCTTAGGGCCTTTAGTGGGGTCCAGGGGACAGAGCCCCCTGAAGTTCAGGGGTTTTAGGTATTTAATTACGGTCAGATGAGCATCCAGGGAACCGCCTTATGGCCCTTGGTGGGGTCCCCATAAGCTCTGGGGTTTTAGGCATTCTTTTATACCTTATTTGTGACATTTGGAGGTCACTTTTTTTTCTCTCCGTCTTTCTTTCTTTTTATCTTTAACATAATTTTTCAAAAAGTGAGGGGGGGGGGCTCAGGCTCAAGCCCAGCCACTTTGCAGACCATGACATAAAGGCTTATTAACAAGCGTATTTTTCGCCCGACTGTAATTTGGAAATTTCTTGTTTTCCAACAAACGCATAAAAAGGTATGACCTTTAAAAAAATGGAGAAAAAATACCGGAAAATGTCATAACAGCAACATTTGTAAATCACTGGTATCGAATACGAAATTCCTACCCCCCCCCCCCCATCAGTACGCCAGCGTTCAGGGGATCATGTCTTCTCACCCCTATAACAAAAAAACAGACACGCTTTCCCATTCTCGCACAATATGTCCACGATATGCGCGTATCGCTATTATAAAGACCTCCATTGATAAATACGGTATAGGTGTCATATGCGCAATGTTTATGAAATTTAATTCCTGTGAACTTTCCTTTCCTTTGAATGGAATTGTATATGTGACTTTTTTCAGGTTTTTATTTTTGTTATGTTCTTTTGGGGTAAAAATACAAACCATGTTTTAATACCCCTTTACTGCTTTTTTTTTTTTAGAGGGGGGGGGGGGCGTTTTGAGGGGCAAAAATGCGTTTTGCCCCCCCCCCCCCCCCCCCCCCCCCCCACTATTTTGACCGGGCCTATTGGTGGGAGGGTGTAAACAGAGACTTATAGAAAGATATGAAAAGATAGGCAGAGACAGATACATACAGAATGAATGGGAATAAGCGGAGACAGGGAGTGACAAACAGACTCGGAGATGGAGCGAGACGTAAAACAGGGATCCCAGTTTTCAGGCCATAGGCCAATTTGAGGCAACGGCACCCCCCAATTTTCAGGCGTCCTATTGTACAGTTCATACAGGACGCGAGCATTTCTCAGTCTCTTTTCAGGCTCATTGGATGGAATCATCGGGTATCACTGTATAGAAGGAGAGAGGTCTTACCTAAACCGGGCGTGCTAGGAGGCCTTGGTCCACTTAGTTGGTTCTCGATCTTCTGCTTCGCGGGTGTTGTTTGGGGGGAGCGTGGCCTCCTATACATCTCTTCAAGCTTGGTCTGGCATATGACCTTGGCCCACGTGATGGTCTCTTGATCCAATTTTGGTACCTTGGTGTAGATGCGTAAGGTGACGTCTACCTTGTCGGCTGGGAGCTGATCAAAGATGAGCGATGCAACGATCAGTAGGCTTATTTAAAATTCTATATAGTATTCAAGTATTCAATTTTATTTCACATCTCTTTAAAAACACATGAAAAGATATACAAACAAAATCATTATAAATTAAAACAATATAAATATTTTTAAAAACACATTCATTGACATGGTACTGTGTAAGAAGGATGAAGGGTGGTGGATGCAAGGGATCAACAAAGGCCATTGGTCTGTCAAGGTTGATCCCCTATATTACCACCCTTCAAGAGAAATACATTATACCAAAAAAACAAAAAACAATCAAACAAACAGATAATATAACATAGCATAAACACATAAAAAACACAACATAACTATTTACATAAATCACATAAAAGGCAATTAGATCTAATAAAACTACTCACAATTAAGAATAGAAAACTTTTTTTACTGAATGTAAGAACAGTGGATATTTCTTTAAGTCAACATCAATAAGTATAAAACAAGAAATTCCAATAAAAATGTATGTACCTTTTTATATTTTTAACTTTTCAAAAACCGCAATAGGTTTTAAATGCCACAGCTTTGGAATGAGTTACCAAACGTATTAAAGAATAGGGAAAGAAGACCCGGGAGAAGAGAAGAAGTGATGAAAATGAAAGAAGACTGATAGCATGAGAGGAAAGAAAAGAGCTAAGAAGACAAGAAAAGGGTGTAAAAAGGAAAAGGAGGAGCAAGAGAGAGAGAGAGAGAGAAAGATAGCCTTGAGCTTTGGATAAGCTAATGAGTAATACATGAAACAAATTTTGAGCAGAGTAATTATCTTTCGCCGGAGAACTTGCATAAGGAGCTACAACTTGATTTTTTTTAAATTAAACATTATGGGGAAAAGCAAAAAACGGCTGAGCATTATTTATTGCACACGACTTTTGGATCAAAGAGCAATTTTATTGTCGGCGGAGAATTGTCTTTTACGGGGTACTTTTGGGGAGGAGCACTTATTGTCGTAGTAGCCTTTGTATTAAACGGAGCAATTGTCGGCGGAGCAAATGTCGGCGGAGCAAATGTCACCGGAGCAAGTGTCGCTTCAGGCGGAGCAAATGTCGGCGGATAAAACTGTCGGCGGAGCAACTGTCGTTCGAGGAGCATTTGTCACCGGAGCAATTGTCGGCGGAGAAATTGTCGGCGGACCTAATGTCGGCGGAGCAATTGTCGGCGGAGCAAATGTCGGCGGAGCAAATGTCGGCGGAGCAATGACGGCGGAGCAAATGTCGCGGAGCAAATGTCGCGGAGCAATTGTCGCGTTTTGCGGAGTAAATGTCAGCGGAGCAATCGTCGGCGGAGCATGTATCGGGTTACCGCTAGGATTCAAACTCTCAACCGTTGGATTGAGAGTTAAACGAATGAAACACTATTCCACGACACCTCCTCGCGGATAGTCGTTAGGTTTGCATAGCTTTGCATATAGTTTACATACTGAGTACACTGACCTCGTCCTCTTTGAGGAGTTTGGCATCAAGTTTACCATCAATTGGTTTCTTGTAGAACGGGATATCGAGGAGAGGGTTCCTGTCTCCACTTCCGTAGTCGAAGCGTGATACCTATCAATAAATGAGAAGAAAGAGAATCTTCGGAAATAATCGGGAAAGGTTGTTGTTTATGTTTAAATAGTATCTTACATATCTTTATTTATTAAAGCCAACCAAGCATTGTGATTGGAATTGTGTTCATAAAAGGAAACTACTTTACATTTTTTCCGCTGCAGTTAACTATTTTTTGTCGCTGAAATTCTTTGAGGTTGAAATATAAATGATGCAACACTTAAGGGTGTCGGGAGTACCTCTTGGATGGGGGGGGGGGGGGGGATCGGGTAGCATGTCGAATTTGCCGACAATTTAACCAAAGGAAATTTCCCAGTTTTTTGGGAACTAGTATGCGTCCTACCAGATTATGACATATGCAATGAACTGACCTTTTCCCGTAAGGGGGGGGGGGGGGGGGAGGGGGACTCGATAGCTCATAATTTCGAAACACAAACTTCCCATATTGGGGGGGGGGGTTCACAATTCCTAACATTTGTTGCATTACTCTGAACGTTCCTTTATCTAAAGGTTCATAATTCCGAAAACGAAGTATGGTACATAAGTCCGAAATTGAAGAAGAGATTATTATTCCAAACGTTCGTAAAGTGAAGGAAAGGAACCTTACTTCATTTCAAGAATGACCGACATGTTACTGTTCCCAAACAAAAAAAGCTACAACTAGCCATACCTGGACTACGATATTGTCAGCTTGGAATATCTTTCTCGAAGAGATGGGCAACCGTGATGGAAGGTCGTCATCATCCTTTACGATCAATCTCTTAATCTCATCTGGATCCACTGCATCCATCTTTAACTAGAACAACAATTATCGTGATATACGTGTATATATTTACATTATGTACATACACACACACACACACACACATGCATATGTATGCATGTAATATATACACACACACATACATACATTTATATACACTGTTGGTCATAATGGTGGAATAATTATTTTTACCCCAGTTAAGGGAAGGATTTAAAAAAATTATTTATTTCTAATAGATCTAGATAATGGCATACATTCTCAGATTTTATTGAATATTAATTTGCGAGTGTTTGTTTTGCGTGACTCCTAAATCATATGTGTGCTCCTATGCTAATCAGCTAGGGAACCTACGTCCTTAAATCATAATTGACAGTAATGAGGATTAATGCCTCATAAAAGGGCACTAATATAGCTGATCGACACGATTTTTATCCTGGGGCCTCACAGTAATGAGGCCATTGCTTAGCCCCTGAATCATGACTGTACGCAATGTTTGCTAGGGTACGCGGCCCCTTCCACAAATCCCCCAAAACGAAGAAAATGCAATAAATTATCAATAATTCATTGCATTTCCCCCGGCCCCCAACAGGAAAAATTCCTCTGTAGGACCATGCATTATGGTTCAAGGCATGGCCACAAAGAGGAATTTTTCCTGTTGGGGGCCGGGGGAAAATGCAATGAATTATTGATAATTTATTGCATTTTCTTCGTTTTGGGGGATTTGTGGAAGGGGCCGCGTACCCTAGCAAGCACTGCGTACAGTCATGATTCAGGGGCTAAGCAATGGCCTTGTTACTGTGAGGCCCCAGGATAAAAAATCGTGTCAATCAGCTATATATTAGTGCTCTTTTGTGAGGCATTAATCCTTATTACTGTCAATTATGACTTAAGGACGTAGGTCCCTTAGCTGATTAGCATAGTAGCACACATATGATTAAGCAGTCACGCAAAACAAACACTCGCAAATTAATATTCAATAAAATGTGAGAATGTATGCCATTATCTAGATCTATTAGAAATAAATAATTAAAAAAATCCTTCCCTAAACTGGGGTAAAAATAAATATTCCACCATTATGACCAACAGTGTATATACATTTGTTTATATATATATATATATATATATTATACATCTGCGCATGCACATAAACACATACATACACATTTTAAGTTTTAAAAAAGCGCGTGGCATCCATCCATTCCACCTATTCCTCAGTATTTAGAGTTTACGCATGGATGCCATGCATTACCCCCAAAATGTCATATAATCTTTTTCTAGATCCTTTTTAAAAATATCTGGTTTACTAATAATTGTTATTATTAATATCTTTATTGATATTATCATTACTATATTATTAATGTTATTATCACCATTATCATTATCCAGATTTCTAAAACTGTTTTTATTTTTATCATATTTACTATATATCATTATTATCAATTTCATATTTGTTGTTGTTTTTGGTGTATCAATATTATCATTATTATTATTATTATTAATCGCCCCAGATTGCCATGGTTTACTGATGATATAAGAATGGAAAAGAAGAAGAGAAGGAAGGCAGAAAAGAAATGGAGGAAATCTCAGTCTGTCTCTGACCACAATGCATTTAAGTTAGCTCGAAACAAGATGTTGTTTGTAATGAATAATGCTCGTACTAAGTATTATACCGACTGTATTACTGACAATAGCTCAAATCAAAGGAAACTCTTTGATGTAACAAAGTCCTCGTTGAACATGACAAAAAGTGATTCTGTCATACCTCCTAGTGTTGATAACCATGATTTTGTCAATGGACTTGGTGACTTTTTTGAACAAAAGGTAGTCAAAATTCACTGTGATATCGAATCAGTGTTACATGAAGAGGATATCAGTGTTGATAATTCCTTGGAATACTCATCCTCATCCAATCCACCCAAGTTTGCAAATTTCATGCCGTTATCCCAAAGTGATGTTCGGAAACTTGTAATGAACCTCAGTAAGAAATCATGTTCCCTCGATCCAATGCCAACAAGATTGGTTGTTGAATGTTTAGATACCTTACTACCTGTGCTTACACAAATCATAAATTTGTCATTACATAATGGCAAGTTTCATTCAGGTTGGAAACTTGCCTTGGTTAGACCTATTCCAAAGAAACCCAATTCTGAAATGAACTTCAGCAACTTCAGGCCAATAAGTAATCTCCAATATGTGTCGAAGTTGGTTGAAGGGGCAGCCACTGCTCAAATTCAGGATCACCTCCTTCGTAACAACCTTTTCCCTTTAACACAATCGGCGTATAGAAAGTATCACAGTACAGAAACCGCTTTACTAAGAGTTAAGAATGACCTACTTATGGCAATGGACCAGCAGAAAGTTACATTTTTTGTACTTTTAGATCTCAGTGCCGCCTTCGACACTGTCGATCATACTAGCTGAAATACTACAGTCTGATTTTGGGATTACAGATTCTGTTTTATCTTGGGTACAGTCTTACCTGTGCGATAGGGAGCAACAAATATCAATTGGTAACACCACCTCAAAGAAATTCGATGTTAGATGGGGTATTCCTCAAGGCTCCAGGCTCGGACCCCTCCTTTTTTCCCTTTATTCGAGTCGCCTTTTTGCTATCATCAAAGCATACTCTCAGCACATATCTTGTCACTGCTATGCAGATGATACCCAGTTATACATTTCATGTAGCCCAGTCAGGGAACAAGAACAGTCCTGTGTTTCAGCTCTTGAACACTGTCTAAGGGATCTTCGTAGGTGGATGTTAAGCTGTAAGTTGAAACTCAACGACAGCAAAACTGAATTTCTTATTATTGGAACACCTAGGCAAGTGTCAAAACTTAATATAAATTGTATAACAGTCGGAAATACTGTAGTCGAGCAGTCTATGGTTGCAAAAAACCTTGGTGTCTGGTTTGACTCTCAGTTGAACATGGAGACCCATATATCCAAAACATGCAAAGCAGCCTTCTATCATCTGTACAACCTACGTCACATTCGGAAATACCTAACTCGCACATGTATCATTACATTAGTCCATGCCTTTATAACAAGCAAATTGGACTACTGTAATGGACTACTGTTTGGCTTACCAGAATCTCAGATGTGTAAATTACAACGTGTACAAAATGCATGTGCCAAACTCATCTGCAATTCCCCCAAATTCTCTCATGTAACCCCACTACTTCATGATCTGCACTGGCTTCTAGTTCGCCAGAGAATCAAATTCAAAATACTCCTCCTTACTTATAAGGCACTCCATGGCTTGGCCCCCATTTATCTCAGTGAACTCCTGACGTTAAAATCACCCACCCAGTCCTACAGGCTCCGTAGTTCCCATGATACCATGCTCCTGAGTCTTCCACCTTGTAAAACAAAGGTTACTCTAGGTGACCGCGCCTTTGCTAGCGCTGCACCCAAACTCTGGAATAGTCTCCCTGCCACAATTAGACATGCATCATCAATCAATGTGTTTAAAAATAACCTGAAAACCTATCTGTTTCAGGAAAGTTTTACATAGACATTTTCATTGTAAAGCATACACAGGTTCCCCCTTAGCATCGATTTTAACTTTTAAATGTTTATTTGTATTGTTCCTTTTACTATCATTATGTCATGCGCAGTTGAGTATATACATATAGAAACTGCGCATTATAAATTTACAATTATTATTATTATTATTATTATTATTATTTTATGTTATTTCAATGTTATTTTTTTTTTTTTTTTTGTAAACTCCAACTACTACAATAACTATACCACTACCATCACTCCTGCTACTGCTGTGACAATCATTACTATGATAGTTAGAATTTTCTTTTAATTCAGGCTATGCTAGTGCCACTACTTCAGATGTATGTAAACTGCCATCTCCTGCTAACAATGTATCGATGTGTCGACAACCAAGCTCAATGATGTTTACATGAACCGGAAATCATTTCATCTACGCCTCCACTGAAATATGGCGCAATCGGAAATACATTACAGCAGTGGTAGCCATGTCGGTAAAGTACACTACCTGTTATTTGTTCATACTTAAAAGACGTCAAATACCTTTTCGTTGGCATGCTCGCATATTGCAAGGCACTGGTAGAGTTCTCTCTTGTGTATCCGTTCTATGATCTCCCGTGCCCTCACCATTCCTGGTTCTTGTGATCGTGATCGTTTGATCTCGTTGAGGATGGTGTCATCTACTTGACAGAAGGCCTTGGGGTCCTTCACAGACTCCAATAGGTTGTACTTCTTTCTAAAACAGTTTCATATGCAAATACAAAACAAAGTTCCAAAAGTTATGGTACAAGAGGCAGCCTGTTAGATTTCCAGTTAACCAGTCAATTACATAACCACATTATATCCACATTCAACGACTGAAACATATTCCTATTTACACTTTAAACAAAAAATCCATAACACGGAATCACAGAAATGTATGAGTAACACAAGCAAAGTTGTTTTGATTTGTAAAGGAAACTTACCCGCCTTCACCTACGAATATGAGATGATCAGCTGCTTCTTGGAAAGCTTCCTGCAGCCTACAAGAATATTTTGAATAATAATTATAATAAAGTCAGTCTTATATAAAGCATAATCTGTTGCCATCTCTACGCGCTTAACAAAAAAAAAAGAATAACATCTTATGTAACATTTGAAATTGATACCGTAAAGTAATTGCATCAGTTAAGAAAGTATGGCAATACATAAGATTCTGAATACAATTCTTGATTGGAAACAACAAACAAAATTGAGATAAAAGGAGAAAGTACATGTATAGCCTGACTAGCTGCCATAACTAATAGCATAATATAAAATGCCGTCCTTTACTCTGATGTACAGGAAAATCATAACAAAGATGATATAATTTCAAAGAGGAATAAACACACATGTGTCTATGTTCTTTTTGTGTATATATTTTTAATTTTTTTATTTGAACAAATATTGTACACCTATCTCAGGAATGATGCGTAATCTACTGAATTCAAATCAAATTAAAGCCAATTTTATCTGATTACATGATGGCGATGACCTTGGTGACCCTATGCTGGTAAGATGTGTAATGAAGACGGCGTCTTGTGAGAAACATGATGTTCAGATCCCTTGCTACCTAAAATAATAAAGAAAATAAAGATTCATTTCAAAACAAGCACAATTTATACATTTATAAATAAAGTTTTTATGCTTGTAACAGACTAACCAATAGTCAGGAGAATAAACTGTAGATACCTTCCAAGCTAAGGCGATTTCTGCCATAGATTGAATAAATAGGCGTGTGTGGTTTTGGGCGATTGATCGAGATGTGGGGGAAAATACCAAGAGACCGCGCCTAACGTGTACATTATCTATTAATATACTGTAACATTTTAACAAATGGGAAGATTGATATAATGTTTGCGTAAGGGAGGTGGAGGAATACAAGTGAAATACTATAGACACGCTTTCGATTAGATAAATGTCATGTTCAAACCAAATATTATAAAGGTTAAAATACACTACAAAATGGTATAATGGGCAGCACTCTTGAGCGGTCGGATTCACATCTTGCATCTAAATTCTTTATGGTGAACATTGTAATCTCTTTTATACCGTTTCCATGGTTTTGGGTGCAGATTTTAAACTTTATTTTTATGTGAGCGTATACCTTGTCTCTAAAGCAGAGTTCCTTCCTTGTGTGATCGCCTCGCTTCACATCGAGAACCTTCACGAAGGGCAGAATACGGTTGAAGTCGAATGCAGACTTCATGCCTAGGTAGTGTGTATCCCGGGCACAATAGTCCCATTTGTCCACGTCCACCCCGTTTACAAAGTTGTTCACTATCTGATACAGATACAACTTGTTCTCACGAAGCTGATAAATTTGTAAGGATATTGTGAGAGAAGGTCACATATGCAGGCAGATAATCAAAGCGAGAAAGAGAGAGAGAGAGACACACACACAGAGAGAGAGAGAGAGAGAGAGAAAGAGAGAGAGAGACAGAGAAAGGCAGACAGAGAAAGAGAAAGAGACAGGGAGAGACAGAGTGTGGGAAAGAGACGTATATATATATATATATATATATATATATATAGCCGGGTATGGAGAGAGAGAGAGTGTGTGTATGTGGGGGAGGGGATGGAGAGAAGAGAGATGAGACAAATCTTTTATAATTTCATGTTCTGTTGCCTTATGTTTTGTTTATCCAATCTCATGTGATATTACCCTGCACTTTCCGTTGTTGTCTATGAGTAAAATTGTTTTACTCGATACTCTTTTTAGTAGAATTTCTGAATATGAATATTACTCATAAAGATTAAGATTTTTTTCTTTCAAACTGGTACATGTCTTCAATTGAACCCTTTTTTCAATAGTTTCTTAATTTATTCCAAACAATACAATTTAATCTTAGAAATGAAATATAGTTGTTTTTCATCTTGACATTGTACGATTGAGTTGTAACATAAAACAGATAACCCAATCCTACCAACACACTACTCCCATCCCTCCCACCATTCCCACTATCCGAATCACACACTACCCGACCACAATCCGCACATATACCACACAGTGTTCCTAGCCTCCTCAGAATACCCAAAATTGGAGCGACAGACAAAAAGAAATAATCTATTAAAAAAATTAAAAAATAAATCTTTTAAACGAGGCTACAATAGCCACAATAGCCCAGTGTTAAAAGTTCATGAAAACTTCACTTGTTTCCACTTTTGTAAATGTCAGGCCAATTTACCTGCCCTCCCTGCAATATTCTTTTCTTCTTCCCTAAATTCCAACAGTTCTTTTTGAAACTCACCCAAAACAATATTACGGACTTTCCCCTGCATCTATATATCCAATATATCATTGGAAAAATTATTGTATTAAATATCTTTTTTCGTAGAGAATTACCGGACAACCCTAAATTAATATCTACCCAGTCGATGGACCTTAATTCCCTTAGCCCAAACTTAGCTATTACATTCTGCCATAACCTTTGAACAGGTACACACTCCCAGAAAAAGTGTAAATATGTTTCAATCTTTTGTTACAAAATGAGCACAAGTTATCTTCAACAAAGCCGAATCTGAATACGTGTTCTCTAGTACATATTGCTCCACGAAGCAGTTTATACTGAATCTCATAGTCTGTTAACAAGAGTAACTTTCCTAGGCCTACTAAATATCTCTCTACATACCTCATTTGAAAAATCTGAAAATGCCCGTCCATCATGAATCTTCAAAAACAAATGAATTTTGTAACTTCTCTATGAAATATTCATAAACCTTCATTGATAATACATCTCTGATGAGCTTCACAGTACTGTTAAACTGCATTAAAGTATCATACTCTTTTACATGCACTAAAGTCCAGTTATCCCTTTTCATGCTTCTCAAAATAGCTTCCCTAATATTCCATACATCAACAATTTTGTTTCCTTTTAACTCCAAATGTTGAAAATGAGATATTGACTGCATGCCATTTTTAGCAAAAATTTCTTGAATTGAAATTTTATTGGGTGTAAACAACTCCTCATCAAAATTCATTTTCTATTTTAATAAGAAATTGTTATTGTTAAAAATAATTGGATTATTCTTTTCTTCAAAATTCCTATAACCTTCTAACTCTTTCCATGCTTTGATCATTTCTAAATAAAACTTAGGTACTTTGAAACTTAATAACTTGGAATCATAGTTACACACGAAAAAATCTACCCCCTACCATCTTGAGGCAGAAATCAAAGTATTTTATTGACTTTTTCCATGCTTTGATCATTTATAAATAAAACTTAGGTACTTTGAAACTTAATAACTTGGAATCATAGTTACATATACAAAACAAACTACCCCCTACCATCTTGAAGCAGAAATCAAAGTATAGCTTCCATCTCATAGATTTCTCTCCGTACAATACTCTTTTCACCCACATTACACGTTGGATTTTTACAAACGAGTCAAAATTAGTCATTCGTAACCCTCCTTCATTATAACCTTGATACAATATTAATCTCTTAATTCGATCTTTCCAATTCCATATAAATTCAAAACATATTTTCTGTATATGACCCACTTTGGAACCACCAGTGAAGCAAAAACGTAATTTAATTTACATAATGCATATGTTCTTAATAAATCTTTTTTTCCAAAACCGTAAGGTCCCTCTGTTTCAACCATCCGCGAAGTCTTTTAATCTTGCTTATTTCACATTATAATTCAATTCCTCTCTTTTTCTGACGTCTAACGCAAAATACACTCCCAAATTTTAATTTCTTTAAGCGCTTTCCCGAAGGGAAGTTTTTCTGATTTGTCTTTGTTTTTCCCAAATTTCATAATATTACTTTTTTCCGCATTAACCCGTAAACCACTTATTTTCTTAAATAACGTATAAATCTCATTTACTCTCTCTACAGATTCTTTATTTCTAACAAATATTGTCATGTCATCTGCATATAAAACTTGTTTGACTTTAATTCCTATAATATTAACGCCCATAATAACCTCATCATTCCTCACTACTGTTGCCAATACTTCAATAGCGAGAATAAATAAATAGGACGGGAGTGGATCTCCTTGCCTTACCCCTTGCTTAATATTAAAATAACCAGTAGCAAAACCACCATTCATAACACAGCTACTTATATTACTGGAAATAGTTTTTACCCAAGAACAAAATGAGGGACCGAACCCAAACCTTTCTAAGACTCTCAAGAGGAATGTATGAGATACGGAATCGAATGCTTTTTCAAAATTAACCGCAATCAAATAACTACAAGCCTTATCATCTGACTCCTCATTAGAAAAACAGAACATATCATCAATTAAACGTACCGCTTCTCCACTATTGCGATTATTCATATAGCCCACCTGGTCTACGTGTATGACTTCCTCAAGTACTCCCTTAATTCTTGTAGCTAACACCTTCGACCAAATTTTGTAATCAACATTTCATAATGTAATCGGCCTATAATTTGATATGTATCGAGGGTCTTTCCCTTCCTTCTCAATCAAAGTAATAACCCCTTGTTTTGAAACTCCCCATGACATAACCTTCATTTAAAGCATCTACCAAAATATTTCCCATACCTAACCAAAACGTAATATAAAATTCAACTGTAAGGCCACCATTGCCAGAAGACTTGTTTAATTTCATAGCCTTCAATACCTTTATGCACTCATCTTTTGTTATTTTACCTTCACATGCTTTCCGTCCATTTTCACTTAATTTGTTAACATCTTTGAAAAACAAATTTTCCGTGTCCTCATTAAAAAAACCTTAACTTTTCCGCATATAAATTTGAATAAAACTTCCTAATCATCGCCAAATTTATGTTCCTGTCATATTCAGCACATTTTTTCTCATCATACAATTCCCTTATCACGGTTTTCTTCCTATTTTACTTTAGCAGTTGCTCGATAAACTCCTTGTTTTTTCCCCTTCCTCATACCACGCAGCACGTGACCTAATCTTTATTTCTTTTTATAGACTTCTCATGCAATTCCTTTAATTGTTCTTTCTTTTCCTCCGTTTCTTCCAACTTCAATGGAAACCTACCTATTTCACTTTCCACCTTTTTACTTCATATTCTCGCCTTTAAATATTCTGTTTCTTTTCTTTTGCCTTTCCCTTCGAAAATATAATTGCGTTTGCCCTAATTTTCATTTTCAAATAATCCTAAAATAACAATTTCTTGTAGAATATATTTTCCCAATCTCTTTTACTCAAACTGATTTCATTTACCATACCTTCCAAAACTTTTTATCTGAACAAAGACTATTATTAAATTTCCAATATGACCTTCCATGCATATACTTTTTCTTTACAAACTTAACTCCCAGAATGATTCCGGCATGATCAGTACTGATAGACGGCTTTATTTCGCAAGTAGATACAGCTTGTTCCAATTAGTTTGAAATAAACCAATAGTCTAACCGACTTTGAACCAGTGGCGTCTTTTGCCTAAACGTGTACTGTTTTAAATCCGGATTATCTTTCCTCCATACGTCATACAACTCTAATTTCCTCAAAAACATCTCTAAATTATTTACAAAGGTTTATCTAACTACTCTTGTAGCTCCCATGTAATTCATTTTTCATCAAAAATAACACAAGTCTTCTTCTAGAATGATCGAATAATTAAAAGAGTACAAAGTTGAAATACAAGAGTCTATTTTTTCCAAGATTATTTTTTGTTGCTGAATATTTTTCCATGTTGGGAAGCACACATTCCCTATTAAGAGTCTCATGTCCCAAATTAAAGCTCTTAATAAAATAAAACGACCATCCACATCTTTCACTACCTCCTTCACTTTAACATCTACATTTTTCGCAAATAGAAGAACACCTCTACTGTGATTTGACCCATGACAAAAGTACATTGGCCCTTCCCAATCCTTTCTCCACGCCATTTCAATATCTGGTGTACTGCACGTTTCTTGCAACATTACTACAACCCCTTTCTTACTTTTAATCAAATTAGAAATAGCTAATCGTTTATTCCTATCCCTTAAACCTAACATTCACCGAAATAAAATTCACACTATCCATTGATTTTTCTTTTCTATCTATACTCATAAAAGAAACAAAAATAGCAGTAAGAGTTTGTCATCAATTGTAAAGTTTCCATGAAATTATGAACATCTATTAGCCTCAAATGAAAAACAAACAGTTTCAATTCATGCGCCCCAAGTTGTAACTCGTGAGTAAAGGCAGGAACAGACACCCCTCACGCACAGACATACCACAACACAGACAGCATACGAACACACTCACCCATAATAATGCATTATCATTCATCTAACACAATTCACCAGTACACTCTCCGACACCGCTCATGGCTCTAAACTGAAAACCCAACCCACCCTCCCCCACAATGCACCTCATAATACATTATTCCCCCCTTGTTAACTTGAGTATTGTAACACTTACACGCACACACACACCCACACACACACACGCACACGCATACCTACAATTTCCGAGTAAAAATGGTCCTCAAGACATGCCAAAAGTAATCACACGACTTTGCCAAGAGGAAATCAGAGGCTTGGACAACTCGACCCTCCAATCTTCTCTCTCTCTCTCTCACACACACACCCACACACACACACACACTATCTCTTTCTCTCTCCCTCTCTCTCTCTCTTGATGGTTTTATTTTTACCATTTTTTCATCCTTTTTGACACCCAGAATAAGCTTACAGATGAACTTGATATCTTCGGTGTAGATATTGTGTTCTTCGAGCTTCTTCTCCAGGCTGTTTTGCTTGATGAGATATTTGAGCATGAAGACCGACTGCTCCTCATGCTGCAAAGATCATGTAGATAATAATAGACTTGAGTAATACTACTAAACACATATGAATAGATGTAAAGAAAACCGGATTGCAATGACTTTCGAAAACCAATAGCCTTGCCGATCTCATATCAAAATGGGCGAACAATTATTGACGTTTTATGTAATACGAACATGATTTCTATGGAATAACCAATAAGATATTAAAATTGCTCTAGTGTTAAAAATGAACCGGTAAAATTGTTGAAGGTTGATGAGAAAAATTGCCTAATTTTGGTATTAAATGATGCTTATTATATTCATTCTACTGTACTAATCCTCTCACACGCAAAAAAATTCTGAAAAAAACCTCAAACTACAAAGATATATATATATATATATATATTGAAGGCCTCTAACAGCAAATTATCCCAACCAATTTTTGAATTATCCAAACGGTTGTTTTTAAGCTTGCTGCTTTCTGAGATCAAGAGTATAGTATTTTATTGAGAAGTATTATTTCCCCAGGATATAGGCTTTACAAAATATTACAACACTTTAAAATTTGGAATTGTATATGGAGCTAATTCATTGTTTTGTGACAAATTACATTCACGTACAAATTTTATTTGATTATAATAAATTTAGTTGGACGTTGGGAATCGATAAGATCAGTTTTCCCCAAATTGTATAACTAATAATCGTCTGTTTTCACGGGAACTTTCAGATTATCTTTAACTGTACATTGATCATTAAGGTTACTACCTTAACACCCTTTTCTCTCATCGGAAAAATGTAGCCAAGCCCCTTTAAGGGCAGAATAATTTGCAAAGAGGGTGATATCCCCTACCCGAATATTAATTTTCAATGCGTAAATTTTGCGAGCGAACGAACACAATTTTGACACTTTCTTTAGCACAATCTTATATTGTCTAAAACATACAAATTTGAAATAAATATTATTAACAGACCAACTTGCTGATGATAAAAGATTTTTTTCCTCGCTTATGTTTCGACTTGATTTATAACTTTAGGATATATTTCACCCAGTCATTCCTTATGCAATATTGCTGGCCAGTAACACGCTTTTTATTACTCACATTGCATCACAAAGAATACTGTGTGCATACATATAATGAATGCCAAATATTAAAATATCAAGTTTGTCTAAATGGCATCCCGTACCCCTGTCCCGGGGGTCTCAGTCAAATATAGATACTGTAAGCATGCGTGACCATGCAAGAAAACGCATATAAAGGGGTGTTTTTAGGATACTGGACGCGGTCCGCGCCGTGCCGTATTAAAGAGTTCAAAAACGTCAATTTGGGGGCATTTTCAAGAAAAAGTGCCCACCTTCAAAATCCTGCTGTACGCGTCGGCTTACGCGTTTAGGGGGATTTTTCTAGACCTCAGGACCAGGGGGAAAAAATTGGTAATAATTCGTCGTGTTCGTTTCCGTCGTGTTTGCTTCCGTCGTGTTTGCTCATAACGATAGGTAGCTTATCTAGCGCGAGTCGGTTTGAAACGATCTTGAGATTTTCAGTAGATCAAGATGGATGCCCACGATACCGACCCAGACCTACTAAGTCTCACGCATATAGCTGGTCCCTTATATTTTGTTTTGCATAGTAGAATAGTTACTGTTTACTGTACAATGTGTACTTTTTGTAAACACTACATGTACTTTATACAAAATAGATCAAATTTGAAATTTAATTCTCTTTTTCAAAGAGAGGACTTATGTTGGTTGGCTGTGCATCAAACATATTTAGAAGTTTACAGGTTGACGTGTTGCTTCTCTATTGAGATAAATTGTATATTGTGAATTTTACATTAGCAGCGCAATTTGATTTATTTTTCATTGTCAACAACTTAAATGATAATCCTTATCGCACTTTACAATGTTCAAGGGGTTACAATTTTACAGTACTGTTTAAGAGTACACTTTTTTGAAAATACCCGTTTATGGGTGCACTAATTCGGGGAAAAACCACGCGAAATCCTCATTTAGGGTGCATTTTGGTTTCAGAACAAATCATTTTAGGGGGTGTCTGGAAAACCTGTGGTCACGTATACTTACAGTATTTCTACATGACTGAGACCCCGGGACCCCTGTCCCCTGAAATGCTGACCCTGAATTAACAGTGAAATCCAGAAACTGTGAAATATCTTGGAATGCATCTTGATACCAAGTTAAAATGGCATATTCATATTGACGAAATGTAAGAAAAATAAGTAAATTTGTAAGTTTTTTAGCTCGTCTTCGACATTTTATATTGGAATCCAATTTGAAGATGGTATATAATTCAATTATTCTTCCACTTTTTGATTATGCAGATATTATTTATGATTCTTATCGTGCCACAGGGCTAATCCCCACTGTGCCAGGTTGTTTTGAAGATAATCTGATTAACGCGATGATTCTGTGAATGGCAAGTGCAAAACACACAGCACAGCCCAATGAGCATGAACAATAACTGCTACTATGAATGCGCCCTTGCACGCACATGGCACTCAATAGGTAGCGTGCGTGCAGCCTCATGGCAGGCTATGGGTTAAGAAGCATACTGACCGCCTCCAAAAATTAAAAAACAGGGCCGGTCGTATCATTTTGAAAATGAATTCTTTTAACCATGTTTCAAATTGCCGAAGCATACTGACCGCCTCCAAAAATTAAAAAACAGGGCCGGTCGTATCATTTTGAAAATGAATTCTTTTAACCATGTTTCAAATAACAATATTCATGTTAAATTAGGGTGGAAATCTCTCCATTCAAGACGTAAATTGCATTTAAATACAATGTTCTATAAATCCGTAAACACTTTGACTCCTCCTTATTTAGAGGAGTCCTTCAAATATTGTAACTATCCACATTCTCTACGATCACAAGGAAATATTAAACTCCCCAAACCAAAGAGTGAATGCTGCCGTAAAATGTTTGTGTATAAAGGCTCACGTGAGTAGCCTACAATGACCAACCGTTGACCAACAGCTTAAAAACTTTTTGCAAAAATCTAATTTTAAGAAATCTGTTTTGCTCTGACCTGTAATGGAACTTGCTTGGGACGGGGGGAGGGTTAGTGATGCTTCTTTAATATGTTTTAGGTTTTATATGTATTTAAATGATATTATTTGATGTTGTATTGTATGTTGTATGATAACTGTTAATATCTTAATTCCTGAACCCCAGGGAAGAACAGTTTTGTTATCCTAACAAAGCTGAATGGGTTATCCAGTTATTCACTATCCATTGATTTTACTATGTACATGCATTTTCTTTGTATTGTTTTTAATATTATGATATGGAAAATAAATACCAATACCAAAAACGGATTAATTCTATAACAAGTGTAACTTCGACTGATATGCATTTGCTCCTAATAACAAAGATGGACAGTCTCCTCTGAATTTGAATGTTTGGTTTGTTTGACCTGAGTGCTAAGGAAGAATGTGTATGCTTGTAAGCAATCAACAAGGGGGCAGACGGCTAAAAGTTCTCTCCGAGGGATTGAGGTAATGAGGATTAAAGCCGTACTAAAGGGCACTGGCTCATCGATTTTGTTTCGAACGCGGGACCTCCTGGTAACGAGAGTAGACCACTGCTCTACCACTGAACCATCTTGCCTGTAATTTATTAAACTCACATTCCATTTGTTGCCATCCTTGTCTGGTGGTACGATGTCTTGAAAGTCATGGGAGAAGGGACCGTGTCCGAGGTCATGGCAGAGACCGGCGATCTCAACACAAGTTACCTCAACCTCCTGAATGCTCTTACTATCATTCTGTCGGAGCATTGAGGCAAGTTTGCCCGCCAAGTAGCTGACACTTCATTGAAATGAAAGTAAAATAGTCTGAGATGGTAATATTTTGCAATGTGTTTTTTCAATTATTATTTTGTGGGACAGCTCCTGGCAACTAACAGACATTCACGTATTGTCATAGAGACTGGCAGTTGATTTTATTCGGAAAAAGGTACAAAAACACACGATGAAGGATTACATGAACTTCAGGTCGGAAAAACACAACCATTATTTTGTCTTCTTGTCTTTATCTAACTACATATTTCTTATTTATCTTCTTCCTTATTTAGGTTGTCTTGACAGGATCCAATATTCTGTCATATGTCTTCTCATGACCAGTAAATTTAAATTTAACAATATCCAGTTAGCCCTCCCCTCGTTAGTTACAGTACACGACTCATTTTCCAGCCTCGGCGACCATTACTCCCGGCCCCCCCCCCCCCCCCACTCAGTGTTATTTAGGGTACGCATATGCGTGTTCCAACCGACCCCCCCTTTTCAGCAAAAGTCCGGTGTGTAAAGTCAATACGGCTCGACCTTTTTCTTTTGTATACGAGCCTTTTTCAGCATCCCCCCTTTTCAGCAAAAGTCCGGTGTGTAAAGTCAATACGGCTCGACCTTTTTCTTTTGTTACGAAAAGGACATTTTGGCAACACGCATGCGGTCATTTTGAAACCTGAGTGGGGGGGCCGGGCCATTACTCCGTGTGAATTTCCTACACTATCGGAATTCTTAAGTTAAACGCTAGATCCGACACTATGACCAACCCTTTACCCAGTATCTTACCTAAGACCCAATTGCAAACATAATTTTGACGAAAAAAAGCCCGGAGCAATGTACAAGATCTAGGGTCTCGCTTACTTATGTTTCTGTTACAAGGATGTTGAAATGCTGGAAATAGGGGTAGTTGTTTTTCAGTGATTTATATGAATTATTACAGCTTTTGCAATTTTATATTCATTAGATAACTAAGTAAATGTAATTACCGAGGGGGGAACTTTTTGTTCTAGACAAATAATGAAAACCTTATATTCGAATAAAGATAATTTGTTGTAGAATCTGCTGGTCAATCTTCATTGTCCCGTGGATAAAAAGGCCAGTATCTTAGCTAGAACCGGAGACAATTTCTTAAAACCGTGCAATCGAGGTCTGGTACAATTCGAAATGATTATTGGTCTCCTATTCACTTGTTGATTTACAACCCATCTCCTGCTGCTCAATAATTTTATTCCAAGTTTTCATTTCTAACCGACCCAATAAACCTTAAATCTCTTATTATAAAAACTGAACATACCCTATTGAGTGTTCAAATCTTGTATGGACGGCGCTTGGGAACACATAGCAGGTACAGCCAAGCTGCTTGATGAATCGTAGTCTCTGAAACTCTGGTGTATCGATGATTATCTGGCAATGCTTCGGCATCTGAACACTGCTATGAATGGGGTCATTGAAAACCTGTATTGAGAAAGAGAAAAAAATTGAATTCCGGAACCTTCAATAGGGGAATTTTCTGGAACCTATCTTCCATTTTGTGTACTGGTGGATGTTTTTTACATGACAGCATTTCATTCCGGGCGTCGACTTTAACATTCTAGGGGGGGGGGGGCTCATGGCCTACAAACATGCGAAGTACGCCGACCTACACATTTAGTGATTTTAACGAGTACAGGTAGTGAAAAGAGAAAATCAATTCTAAAATTCATCGTAATCAACCCCCTTTCTTTCTAACTATATATTAATAATTGCAAAGAAAACAGTTTACCTAAATAGATGAAAATTAGCTAAACCAAATATTATTGACTTCATTTCCTTATTAATCAAATCGTACAAAACGGAAAGATACATTGCTATACACAATGATAAAAAAAAAGATGTCCGTGACAGCAGGTGGCAGGGTATGGCCAAGTATATATCCATTGTCAGATAAGTGAAAAAAGGATATTTGATATGTTAATGAGCTGTATAATGTTTATTACATAATGTAATCAAATGTTCATTTTCACTGGTTTGTGAATCATTTGTCAAATATATAAATGTACATTGAAGTGACTAATGACAATAAAAAAGAAATTTCAATACACCCCCCCCCCCCCAAATAAAACAAAACAAAAAACGTTAAGCTCTCTGAAGCTGATGTACCATGATTACTAAAGATTGCGAAACATGAACAAAAAACAAACAATTCAAATTTTGCTGAAACCAGATGTCAATTTTCAGGGACCGGGGGAAGGGTGGACAAAGAACTGTACATGTGGTTACAGGCAGTCCTACAACTCCCCCCTCCCTGATCTCATACTTCGCCTCAGCTCGAGAGGTTAAATATATGGTATTCCCTATACACTGAAATTATATTACAGTTTATTATTAGAAGAGTGGGTTTGCTTATTTGGTGGGTGAGAGCATGTGACTGGAATTAAAAGTGTTTGGAATATTGCAATGGCAATTTAAAGAATGTAATAACTAATTATTTTCGCTTTTGTGTTTTACAATTGTATCCCTCGATAGAACATCTGAGCAGGGCAATCTATCTGTACTATTACACAAGTTTGTTATTTGAGTTAATATGTTTAAATTCAAATAAAAATAAATGCGACTGAGCGTAACGACCCGAGAGAGACGAAATTATGTTTCGGAATGCTGGCACTTTGTATTCCCTGCCCCTCTCCCCTAGGATTGGTGCCCCTGTCCTAGTGATATTAACTAGAAGTGTAAATTGTATTGCTCATAATAACCTACATGCAGTGTCTTAAAGCGCTAACCAACTATTAAAGATAATAATTAATAAATGATAATAACAAAAACGAAGTATATTGCTGACGAATACTCATTGATTGTAATTCTACACGAATGAAAGAAGATAATGTAGCCTATGACATTATAATAATAATGGCTTTAGAAAATAAATAAATTAAGGACGATTAATTCCTTAGATTTATTAAGTGGTTTTCAGAAACACGATAAAGTACTACTTCATATTACAAACTTAGCGTTCCTACGCTTTTTTTAGCTCGCAATTTAAGAAACACGATAAAGTACTACTTCATTTTACAAACTTAGCGTTCCTACGCTTTTTTTTAGCTCGCAATTTAATTCCGAACATTAACAACATGACTATGGTCGTAATGTAAATTAGCTACTTTTTAATCAACCTGACATTAGCTGTAACCATTTTGTTCACTGCCTGTCTCGATGACTTCAAAAGAACTGACTTCACCTTTGACATACGCCGTAGCAACTCGATCGGTAAACAAGCTGGCAAATAGCCAGCATGTTTATGACAAAGGCACAAACACAGTGTTTGGGTTTCCCCTCAACTCTAAAATCTTCTCAGAAATATAATTACAGGTTTCTTTGGGGAGTGTGGTGTCATGGGGAGAAAATGTTAATTAGACCAACTCTGTGTCGGTTGAAATATAGAGATGTCGTAGTCTAGCAGATATGTTACAGGACTTTGGATTACATGGTTCGCAGCACTAATGTCCTTTGGCAAGACATTCTCGCCCCAAGCTATTACCATTTTGTTCAATGCCTGTCTAGACAACCTGAAAGGAAAAGATTTCACCTTTTACATACACCGTATCAACTCGGTAGACGAGTTTTCGTTATTCTGAGAGATTTATTTTATTCTTGCCCATCAATCTACAAGATTCCCAACTGTAGTGCATGGGAGAGGCATATAGCAAGAATAATGTACAGTGTTTCAGCAAAACATGGGCATCACAACTTTCTTAAAAACGTTACGTACCATGTCGTTTATCAAGTAAATAAATTCATATTTATGGTTGCTTCATTCCCAGGTGTGTGTGGTGATGAAGCATTTTATTCACCTGCTAATATGCTCTTACCTTTTTTTAATTTTTTTTTTTACTACAATTGCCTAAACGCATTTTGCATAAATAAGTTGGTGCTTTTCTTTATTTAAGTACATATTTTTCACCAAATATGTTTTCTAACTTTTCAGCTTTGATTCTCTCATGGAGGCTTAGTTATTGAATTAAAAAGTCCTTCCAAATAAAGCTTGGTGCATGATACATGTACATCTTCGCTTGGTACGTCACATTTTCAATTTATTTTCTTTATTTAAAAAAAAATGAATTACTTGTTGAGTGCCAGTGTTTAGTGCCGCAAGGATCAATTCTCGGACCGTTATTATTTACAATTAATATTGATGATTTTCCCCGATAATCAGATAAATTTGTCCTGTTATCCTTTTCGCAGATGACTCAAACCTTTCTTTACAGCAACAGAGACCCCCAATGTAGCGCTTTTGATGTTAAATAATGAATTAAGAAAGTGACTAATTGGATTAAAGCGAACACACTCTCATTGAACTAAGACAAAACTAATAACACGTTTTCAGGAACTCCATTATCGTTCTTTCAGGTGATAAAATCTTTGACTCTGTCAAATTAGCAGAAGTCTCCTTTACAAGGGTTTTAGGTCCCATAATTGATGTCCTGGACAATCCATACCGATAATGTGATGAGAACAATCTCGATAACGTTGGTGTCATTAAAAAAACGAAATATATTTTCCATCAAATATATTTGAAATGCCTTACTCATTACTTGTATTATCTTATTTAAACTATGGAATTATTGCCTGGGGGAACGACTCCAAAACTCAAATGAACAGAATGTTATTACTACAAAAGAAAAGCACTCCGAATTATTACCAAAATTGGATACTTTGCTCTTTCTGATAAACTTTGTTTTAAAGCGAATGTTATGAAAATGTCTGACTTAATTTAATTAATTTGATTGATTTTTATTTCTCATGCAAAACATAATACAAAAATTATTATATCACAACAAATATGTAATGAAACGATAAATATAGTGGAAATAGCACGAAAAAATAGGAACTAACTTAAAGCAGAGCTTGTTGAAATGTTTCACCTAGGTCAGTTTATTTATCAGCTAAATTTAAACGAACTACCTGAAATATTCAATATTATGTTTTCAAAAAACCATCAACACCAAAATTATCCCACGCGACAGTCTCATTCATTTGTTTTTCTCTATATCCTCAAGCGAGGTTTTATTTCCATAATTTCAATACATATTTACACTAATTACTCAATGATTCAGTGAAACATAACATAGGCTAAAAATTTAACTATATTCAACAATTCTTCCAGCTTGGTATTATTTTCTTTGCTAACACATTCATTTCATAAAAATAATCTAAGCAACGACTTGAGTAAAAAAAAAAAAAAAAAAAAAAAAAAAAAAAAAAAAAAAAAAAAAATATGTGGGTAATAAACAGAACCATTAACAATCTTCTTAAGGTAATATTTATAGATTGCTTGTTGCGCATAATTTGAAATAATATTTAGGAGAGAATATCTCTTGTTTCCAATGTACCTACCTACAACTATTATCTTTTGGTTTATTTGTATTTCTTTTAGGAATAGGTTAAATATGAAATTACACATTATTTTCCAAAACATTATAACATTAAGTGAAAAGTTGAGTCAACTTGTGTACTAGAGTTGCATTAATTGTTATTCACAATTTGCCATTTATATAAGTTTTCTTTCGAGGCAATAAACCTATAAATCATCTTGAAGTAAAATTGTTTAACTTTATTATCATGAATTTGCTTTAATTCAAATGAAAATACATCCTTCCAAACAAAGTCATTGTCCAAATCTAAAAAGGAATTCCAAAAATAAATGACATTTGGTTCTCTTGACTTTTTACGTATTAACAAACGATAGTAAATTGTCACTTTCATAACAAAAACATTCACTTTATCCCCTGTTTTTATTTCTGTAAAATTCGAAAAATCACATTCGTGTTCAAGATTCATTCATCTTGCCATTCTTAAAGGTAATGCTACTATTTTTCCAAATAATTCTTATTTTAAACAGATCAATGAATTTTAGTTCTGACCAAGTACAAAAAAGATCTACATAAAATTCTGGCAAATTATGTTTAGAGCATAATAAATTCATTTCTTTTATGTTACAATTGAAATGTAAACAAAGTGGCAAACCCCCTATTTTATCGGCCCAGTATTTAAACATATTTTTCCAATTAGAGCCATTATCATTACAAAAACGAGATATCCATGCCAAACGAAGTGAAGATATTTTACCAGCAATATCAATCATATTCAATCCACCATTTTCAATATTACTTATAATCACATCACGTTTACTTTTATCTCTTTTGGAATTCCATAAGAAACAAAATAACAGTCTCATTCATATCATTTACCGAGAATGAGAACAGCGTGGGTATTAATTTCTTCCTCTATACTGGGCCCAATTTAAAAATTCACTCGAGCAAACCTTGGCAAATGATCCCACTTTGTGCTCATTTAAACGGTTTTAAATGAATAAAAGGTGTCATTACATGTGCGTAGCTTCTTCACTATTGTGTTGTAGTCTACAATAAAGCAAAGAACTCATAGTTTATTCGTGAATGCAGGCCTTGACAACCCTCAAATGCATTTAGCTGTGTATCTTATATTAGAAACCATGCACGTACTTTAAACAGGTTTCTCCCTTTGTAAATTTCAATAGGCTTCTCGTAACAACTGTGTACTGTGTACTGTGTACTACCCTTTTGTTCAAATATACTTGCTTGAACTCTTATGAACTAAGGATGCTGCACCCTCTTCCCCTCTTTCTCTCTCTCTCTCTCTTTCTTTCTCTTACCCCTCCTTCTTCCTGTTCTTTAATTTTTCTCCTTCTTCTTCCTTGTAAATCCTATTCCCTTCCTTTTCTCCTCGAGCTTGATTTTGTTCTCCTAAAAGGGTATAGCTTCATAAGCTCTGTTTCTTTTAAAGGTTCCTCCACTTTTTCTTCAATTCCCTTCCTTTTCCCGTCTCGCTCGTTCTCTCTTCTTTTTTCTCTCTCTCTCTCTCTCCCTCCTCCTTCCCGTTCCTCCACCTTTTTTCCTTCTCCTTCTTCCTCGTCTATCCTATTCTCTTCCCTTTTCGCTCTGTTTCCTTGCACCAAACTCATTTCCCCCCCCCCTTTTTTCATTCTTGGATACGAGCTTGATTTTTTTCTCTTAAAAGGGTATAGCTTCATAAGCTCTGCTTCTTTTAAAGGTTCCTCCACTTTTTCTTCAATTGTGAAGAAATTAAGAATGATTTTATTTTCTACAATATTATTCTTTGATAAAAAAGAAGTATGTTTCAATAATGGAAATAAAGTTAGTTTTTAAAATCAATGAATATCTACTTTAAGTAGTAAATGAATATTTGCTTTTCACTTTTAAACAAAGTTTCTTAATTCATTTACATTAATATTATGAAAACGTACATAGAGAGTAATATTTGGGGACTGCTATTAGGAATTTGTGACGCCATAGCTTGATGCATGTTCATGTTTGTGTGTACAGTGACTGTACACTCAACCAATGATCTGTAATCGTCCATGACCTAGCATCGTGTATCCATCCATAAATGAACCTGCATTTAATCAGCAGATGTATTAGATAATTTTATTGTATTAACGGAAAACCAACGCTCCTTCTCTCCCCTTTCCTTTTCTTCTCTGCAAGTCACTCTTCTGCTTTTTAATTTAATTTTATTGTTGTATCTAAGTTGAGGGCTGCAGGCACGTCAAGCTTATACTTTTCTTATTCTGTAGCCCTCCTGCATCTAATTTTTTTCAATTATGCATTCAATATATTTGTTTAATTTCGTAATTATCTGTATAAAATTATGTACACTTGAAATTTTGTATCAAACCATATATGTTCATGAAGATGGATGTTTAAAAAGAAAGAAAAAAAGATGCAAAAACCAATAAATCAAATCAAATCAAATCAAAGTATTTGATATATTTTTGTCAGAGTATTTTCGAATTCCCTCTATTTCATATCTAACTAGACAGCAATTCAAATAAAATGCTGGTATTCCTTTTGTTAAAATCATTTTATATTTCATATTTTTCTTAAAGGTTTATACTCTGACTGAGGAAGGCAGCTCTCAAATTACATTAATGATTTTAAAATCCTATAATCTAACCTGTCATAGATATCACAGAAACTATATAATAACACAATTCAAAGACTCATGCATACACAGAGAACACATGAACAGGAAACAAAATATTAAGCCTTCATATTCATGACTCCCGTCTCTTCTATCTACCCCTCCCCTTTTCTTTGATCTCTTTTAATCACTTTGATTCGTTTCAAATTAAAAGGTCATTAAAAGCATCAATGTTATTGAATGATTACACGTAATTTATTTACATTTTTGTTCATTCATTCACCAATTAATAATTTCCATTAAAGTAATATTCATACACCATCAATATAATCAATGCGCATATTTCAAAATAGCTATATGCAAACAGAACTGGGTTTCCATGATTGTTAATATCCCGATATAACAAACAAAATGTTCACGATTAACCCAGGAAAACAGAGAAAGGGAAAAGCTATAAAATATAAAAGGATTTAAAACAATCCTCTTCACATCAGGTGAAATATTAGCAATAAGAACTGTATAGTTCATTCTTTTCTGTGATCGACATCCTTCCTCAGAACAGATAAGCAAAAAAACTAATAATTATTCAATTTCACTTCAATTTTGATACACTGTACATTCTCACTCATTTCCGGGATCAGCAGGAGTTGGAGATGTTCACTAACATATATACACTGTTGGTCATAATGGTGGAATATTTATTTTTACCCCAGTTTAGGGAAGGATTTTTAAAAATTATTTATTTCCAATAGATCTAGATAATGGCATACATTCTCAGATTTTATTGAATATTAATTTGCGAGTGTTTGTTTTGCGTGACTGCTAAATCATATGTGTGCTATTATGCTAATCAGCTAGGGAACCTACGTTCTTAAATCATAATTGACAGTAATGAGGATTAATGCCTCACAAAAGGGCACTAATAAAGCTGATCGACACGATTTTTATCCTGGGGTCTCACAGTAACAAGGCCATTGCTTAGCCCCTGAATCATGACTGTACGCAGTGTTTGCTAGGGTACGCGGCCCCTTCCACAAATCCCCCAAAACGAAGAAAATGCAATAAATTGTCAAAAATTCATTGCATTCCCCCCCCCCCCCCGGCCCCCAACAGGAAAAATTCCTCTGTAGGGCCATGCATTATGGTTCAAGGCATGGCCGGGGGAAAATGCAATGAATTTTTGACAATTTATTGCATTTTCTTCGTTTTGGGGGATTTGTGGAAGGGGCCGCGTACCCTAGCAAACACTGCGTACAGTCATGATTCAGGGGCTAAGCAATGGCCTCAATACTGTGAGGCCCCATGAAAAAAATCGTGTCGATCAGCTATATATTAGTGCCCTTTTGTGAGGCATTAATCCTCTTTACTGTCAATTATGACTTAAGGACGTAGGTCTCTTAGCTGATTTGCATAGTTGCACACATATGATTAAGCAGTCACGCAAAACAAACACTCGCAAATTAATATTCAATAAAATCTGAGAATGTATGTCGTTATCTAGATCTATTAGAAATAAATAAGTTTTTTAAATCCTACCCTAAACTGGGGTAAAAATAAATATTCCACCATTATGACCAACAGTGTATATATATGGAGGAGGAGCAAGGGGCAAGTCGCCCATCCTGACAGGTTTCCACCCAGGAAAAAGCCTGGTAGCAAGCAGGTAATGAATCACTGTTAGCAAAGAAACGCATGAAGTGTACGCATGATATTCCTCTACAGATTAACTCTTTCTTCCTCAATTAAGTAATTTGGGGGTGATACCCCTCCCCTCCCCAGATGGAAATGTTTTGCCCCTCCTTAGATCAAGGTTAGGAAAATATAAAATTGTGTACTAATTATTGACGACATAGTACAGTATCGCCAATATTTATATAATATAAGTTCTTGACTTAGTGTTACATGTTAACGTTACAACTTTATCTAGATACACTGTAAAGGATACAGATACAATTTTTACATATTGATTTTTGTACCTGCTATTTCTTTTAGAAATCTATTCATGAAGCTAAAGATAATAATCTTTCCCTGATGACGCAAAAGCTTAATAATTTATGAAAATCTTAAATCTAAATAAATTAACTAACTTACCTTTGGAATATCCATTATTCTCCTGGCCGACGTGATCAAAAGATGGTGTACAAACGTTTGAATCGGAATTATTAGGCCGATGTGATCAGAAGTTCATCTCGAGTCTACAAGTCTTTATGCGATGTCTACTGGCCCAATCCCATGAAAAGCATGATATCTCGAGTTTAATCTCTTACTGCCAGACACGTACTCCGATGGAATATCACATTGCTCTACTTTTCAGCTTCCGAAAAAAAAAATATCACAGCTCTATTTCAGAACACATCACACATTCACATGTCTCATTCAATTCATCTACTTTGGTGCAGTCTAAACGAAATAAATAGTCTCCTGTGAAATGTTTAGTTCAAGAGAATAACATCCTCGGACACAAAGTCAAGTACGCACGCATCGTCTACAAATTGACTCATGGGACTGATTCCAATTGTGCCAATGACATCCAATCGATCACTCGTCTCGCCGTCTGGGTTTCCCCAACATTGAAATTTTTCTGGCATACTGCCAACAAAAAAGGGGAATTTTTTCAAGCAATAAAGGGAACAGGAATTTTATCCTTCCTTTGTGAATATTCACTTTTTATATTAAAAAAAAGATAGTATCCAACATTAGGTTAAGTGGAAATGAGTGAATTGAGCCTAGATAAATATTGGAAACCTAGACTGAAAGCACACACCAAAATATTCAAAATAAACTGACCATGCTGATTATAATAATAATAATAATAATAATAAATTTTACTTATAGAGCGCTTTTCATATGAGATTTATCGTTTTGAGCATCATAAAGGGGATTGAGCCCCTTTTGTTTTTCTTTGTTTTTCCAGCTTTCCATGACCCTGTAGGATGCAAGTTGATAAAAGAATAATTCAATTGTTTATTCAGTTTTTCCATATCAAAAATTGCATTCATACCGGAACCAACCGCAACACCCCAGAGCAGGCACGTAGCCAGAGTTTGATGTTTTTTTGTTTTTTTTTTGGGGGGGGGGCACATACATGATACATGTAATCGATCGAGGTAAACAAAAAGGGTCAAAAAAAGTTCAACCGATCTTGGAATTTGTTTGGGGGCACGTGCCCCCCCCCCCCCTGTGGCTACGTGCCTGCCCCAGAGGGCGATCAGAAACCTATCCCTCGTAAAATATTCACCTTTATTATTGCATTAGAACAATCCACCTGGAATACACGCAATTAAGGTCCATGGAGCAACAACGGCGTCTGCTTGGGATCATTTAAAGGAATGTCCTAATTAGTAGACAACAACAGGGGCGTAAATCCGTACCGAGGAGTGGGGGGGGGGGGGATGGTCGGCGATAGCCATCACATACTAGCACGAGCGCACGCCCACACTAATTTACGCAATCGCGCGCGATCGCGCACGCACAAACACACAACACACACACACGCACACACACGCACGCACACACACACACACGCACACAACAAACACACACATACCCAAACACATGTACATAAATTTATACATGCATACATACATGCACGCACATGCCAAATTTGACAACCATAAAGTAAAAGAATTGGACATATATTTCGAAATACTGGCAAGCTGCAAACCGTAGTGTTTTATGAACTCCGAAATAAGACGACACACTTTCAAGTAGTAACATAAAGATTGAGTATTTCGTCAGGAAGATGTGAACTCTTTATTTTGAGTCCCATCACTTAGAAAATGACGTATAATGGTAAGGGGCGTCGCTAGACCTTTTTTAGTGGGGGGGGGGGGTGTAGAGGCCAACGATTACCGACAAAACTAGCCCCCAATTACCGACAAAATTAAATGTCCCAATATTTACAAATTTAACCCTATATACCCGGGGCTGAAGGCTAAATTGTTTTTCCTACGGACTATCTATAGTACTTGCGTATGCGCAAATGATCATTTTCCTCGACGACATAAATATACGAATTATTTCGTCAACTTAGTCAGCATCATAGCTATATATTTTAATGCAGGCGCGGAGCTAGGATCTCATTTTAGGGAGGGGCGGTAGTGAGCAGGCGAATCACTCAAAGAGTGCGCAAAGCGCGCTCATTAGGGGGTGTGGTTGATAGGCCTACCGCGCGAAGCGCGGAAGCTTAGACGTTTCCTTTAATTATTAGGAAAAGAAGACGATTTATTTTGCCGTTCTCGACTGTTAACCCTTGTCTGTATGAATTCCCCCGCCCCTCCCGCGCAAAGCGCGAAAGCTTTGGCGTTTCATTAAATTATTATAAAAAGAAGACGATTTGCTGTACTGTTCTTGACTGTAAATCCTTGTCTGAATTCAGTTCCCCCCGACCCCCCCCCCCCCTCTCCCGCGCGGAAGTTTTGGCGTTTCATTAAATTATTAGAGAAAGTAGACAATTCGTTGAACCGTGCTCGACTCTTAATCCTTGTATGAATTCAGTTTCTCCCTCTCTTTCCCGCCCATAGCGCGGAAGCTTTGACATTTCATTAAATTATTAGAGAAAGTAGACGCTTTGTTAAGCCGTGCTCGACTCTTAGTCTATGTCTGAATTCGGTTTACCCCACCCCCCCCCCGCGCAAAGCTTCATTAGTTTCATTAAATTATTAGAGAAAGCAGACGATTCGTTGCACCGTTTTCGACTCTTATTAAGCCCTATTTATCTGAATTCAGTTTCCCCCTCTCGCGCGAAGCGCGGAAGCTTTGACGTTTCCTTAAATTATTAGAGAAAGCAGACGATTCGATGTACCGTTTTCGACTCTTAATAAGCCCTATTTATCTGAATTCAGTTTCACCCTCTCGCGCGAAGCGCGGAAGCTTCGACATTTCATTAAATTATTAGAGAAAGTAGACGATTTGTTAAACCGTGTTCGACTCTTAATCTTTGTTTGAATTCGGTTTACACCTCCCGCGCAAAGCGCGGAAGTTTTGACGTTTCATTAAATTATTAGAGAAAGCAGACGATTGGGTGTACTGTTCTCGACTCATAATTCTCGTCTGAATTCAGTTTCCCCTTCCCGCGCGAAGCGCGAAAAGCTTAGACGTTTGATTTAATTATTATAGAAAGAAGACAAGAAGGCGAACTTTAGACCGTTCCTAATTCGGTAACCTGCAACGGCGCTTTATACTGACCGTTCGACCACACACGGCGCAATCAAGATCAGTGCAGTCGTCACGGTAACCTAAGTAATGGCCCCCTACCTCCCTAGATCGCGCGGGCGGGAAAATGGTTCTGCATTGCTAGCGCGAGAGAGCGGAGCATGCATGCGGTGCAATATGCAGAAGACTGCGTGGCCGGCCGGCCGGGGCGCGGCCCAATGCATTTTGTGTATATAGTGGGATTCTTATTATTCTGAAGTTGATGAAGTGCTTGTTCGCTCACGTCGCGCAACTATTCTTAATGATAGTGACATATACTGTATACGTGTAGGCTATACAGTTATACATACATGAAAAAATAACTCATTTCTCATGCATTATGCTAAAATTGAAACAATCACATTTTTTCTTCTTCTTCTTCTTCCTTTTTTCCTCTCTTTTTGTTGTAATATCAGGGGGGATGTTTGTACAGGCCATCCCCCCTACTTCAAGCCAGGGAGGGATGCAGCCCTCCCCCCAGTATTTAAGATTCAGCCAATTTGATTACAACTTTCAAAACGTCATAACTTTTTCATTTTTTATTCCGATTTCATTCAAACTTTCTTTCTTTCCTGCTTTCTTCTACATTGTTGTCCAGGGGCGTAAATCCCGGGGGGGGTGGGGTGTAGAGCCGGATAACTTTCCCTTTCGTTTTAACACACAAAATGACTGAAATGCCATTTCTTTTTCAAAATATATGACTCAGCAGGTCTTATTTTTTTTGAGGACCTTAAATAATATGCTATCTATAATATATTTTGAGAAGTGAGACGGCAACGAGAGAAAACAAAAATGGTATTTGGGGGCACGACGACCGGGAGAGATGATCATAACTACTTGGAAGATATATATGTGCCTTGGACTCTGTTTTTTACTGCTGCTGAACGGGGGAAGAGTGCACGGTACACGTGTATGTGGACAGCAGTTTGTGTGCAGTGACATACCGGTACCAGCAGCATGCATTGTACAGCGGCGACAATGTTATTCGCTATTCACCCACCGAGCTGCGGGCTCTCCGCAATGCGAGGAATGTTGCACCCAACACTGACATCCTCTTGAGCTACGCCAGCGGAGAAGGGGGAAGAAAGGCGGTCTACGCACACGACTGCGGAGAAGGCGTTTCAACCCACCTCTGCCATCAATTATACTAGGTAATGCTCAATCTCTTAACAATAAATTGGATGAACTTCATGCTGAAACAAAATATAACTATAAGTATAGAGATAGCTGCCTCCTGTGTTTCTCAGAAACATGGTTTAATGAAAGTGTAACTGAGGCAAGCAGTGATATCGATAACTTTGAGTGTGTACGGATGGATAGGAACTCACAATCAGGCAAAGAAAGAGGAGGAGGTGTATGCATATATATCAATAGTAAATGGTGCAATAATATCGTCGGCCTTATGCCAAAAGGGCCTTAACTGCTTTTGGCCATTCCGAGATAATCGCGTTTAAAGGTTTTGGCCTCTCTAATAATAAAAAGTTTGTGGTCGTTTTTTTGTTTTTGAAGCCAATTTCTAGAATGTGTTAAGTTATTAAGTTTTACATGAAATGTGTTAAATTTGTTATAAAATATTCAGAATTTTACATGCTATGTGCAAAAAACATGTTAGGGCCTTTTTGGCATAAGGCTTGAATGTAGCGTATTTATGCCAGAAGGGCCGTAACCTACTCGGCATTATGCCAAAAGGGGCGTAACCTACGCGGCGTTATGCCAAAAGGGCCTTAACCTGCCGTTTTCGTACGCGTAATTATGCGCGTAACTATGCTTTTAGCATAACTACACCTTTGGTTTGCCAGAAAGGCCCTCCTACGGCAAATGGATCACGAAAACTGATAAAACTGATGAATTAAATTGTTTGAAAAAGTATTTTTGATATCTGAATATTTTTATTAATATAATGCAGCTTTCGGTAAAGTTATTTTTTAGAGATCGTACATTTAGGACACCTTTTTCGATGTTTATTTTTCATCACAGTCCCATACGTTGACATCTGCGTATTTCAACGAGTCGGTCGCATTTCATGCATCCACACCTAATTGAAATCTCACTCAGATTTCATGATCTAAACTCATGACATATACTTTCAGTGATTATTTTAAGTACATTGTGTCTATTGTAGACTGATCATGTTTTTAATGGTATTTCTACTGATATTTATTGAATTAAATGGAAATTACGAAATAATCTGTCATTGATAAAAGATTTGCCGTATAAAACTAGGTTAAGGCCCTTTTGGCGTAAGGAAAAAGATGAGATACGCGTTTAAGGC